GCGGTGGTGGTGGTGGGTGATTGTCTGATTTGTGTGTGGTGGTGTGTCTGTGACGAAGATGATGGGAATTCAATATTCCCCTTTTTTTCTTTTCTTTTCTTTTGTTTCTTTCTTTTTTCCTTTTTTAATTATTTATATTTATTAAAAAAAATGAAGAAAATGGGTGTAAAAGGAAAATACTAATTTACCCCAACTATATTCACGTGCTAGGCACGTGATTTGAATTCCGGTCAATTTTGGCCAAAAATGTACATTTTGGACATCGGTGCTAAAAATAATAGAGTTCAGGTATGCTCGTGCAACTTTTTTCCGTTTAGGGGGTAAAGCGCAAAAACGTCCAAAGTTTAGGGGATTTTTTGCAGTTAACCCTATTTGGAATGAGAAAATTGATTTACTTTGGAATTGTTTTTGAAAATTACAAATTTAATCAAAATCTGGAATGTTATATAATATTTTTGCAAAATAAAATTGTTATTTTTGGAATCGAAATAAAAAATTATCATTTCAAATTTGATATTTTCGAATTTAAATCGACGAAATTCAAAAACTGCGTCACAATGCTCACAACTTCCATGTTAATTTTCTTACTTAAAACATGGGCCTATGTAATCACCACGAACCCTAGCCCACGAAGCTCATTGAGATGTTTAGATTCACACAATTATAATTATTTTATAATTAAATTATGTATAATAAAAGCTCGATAAATTAGTAATTTTATTTAAATAATTAATTTTCTCGATCCTGACTTGGTGACACATACTAAATTATTAATTCGATAATTTAATATTATTATGTACAATAGAATCTCGATAAATTAATGTGCAATAAATTAATAATCTCGCTTGAATAATAGTTTATCTCGGTCCCGACTCGGTGAGAACGTGTTTACCTATTAACTCGATAATTTAATATTTCGCTAAATTAATAAAATTTCTCTATTTTCAACTGGATTAATTTATAGAGGCGTAATTGTACTATATATTCATAAATAAATTATTTTGACTAACATTGAAAAATATAAATGCCATTTAAAACGATTTCCTCGAAATAGATCTCTCAAACCAGCCCCGACTTTTCTCCCTTCGTTCTCTCGTCAAGGTTTCTCTCTCTTCTCTCTCTCTCTCTTCTCTCTCTTATCTCTGTGTGTGTGTTCATTTCCCGTGTTTTTTTGCAGGATTGTTTTAATCATTTTAACCAATTGCTTTTTTGCTTGCTCATAAATCGAGAAATACGAAATTAAGAAGAAAAAAAAATTCATATTCCGAAACACGGATCTCTCGGGATTTGATTGTTTATCGGACTGCCTGTACCGATTATCGCTGAATCTGGTGTTGTGATTGGCTGGAATTTCTATTTTGTCTGTGTTCGTGAGCTGATTTCTGTGATCTGCGTTTTTCCCCTTTTCAATTTAGGTTAAAATTTTGTCTTGTCAATACATGTGTTTAATTAGGTTTTTATAAGAAGAAAAAAATGCTGATCTGTTATTTATGCTTGATTTAATCATTTTCTAATTTTATTTTATTTGCATAGAAATATTTGGCCGTGGATAATTATCAGTTAAAGAATTGGGATAACCAGATGAATTTATTTCTATGTTCTGGAAATGGGCATTAAATTTATGTTGCTTCGTTGATGTTTCTGAAGCATTTTGGTTTAAATTTGTGATTTTTGCAGGTTGATTGAGATTGTTTGACCCAGAGAAAAAAAATGGGTGGTGGATTTAGAGTGCTGCATCTGGTTCGACCGTTTCTTTCGTTTCTGCCAGAGGTGCAGACTGCAGACCGAAAAGTTCCCTTCAGAGAGAAGGTTATATACACTGTCATATCCCTTTTCATTTTCCTAGTGTGCAGTCAGCTTCCATTGTATGGCATACACTCGACGACTGGCGCAGATCCATTCTATTGGATGCGTGTTATTCTCGCTTCAAATCGGGGCACTGTAATGGAGCTTGGAATCACACCAATAGTGACGTCTGGACTTGTTATGCAACTCTTGGCGGGCTCAAAGATCATTGAAGTCGATAACAACGTGCGAGAGGATAGAGCCCTTCTGTAAGTTTAACATAAGTCGTGGCATGTTTCATGTTTTAGTTTTCGTCTATAGTTAGTTGATTTGGCTGGAGTTTCCTTGATTATTAGTTTAGTTGTCTCATATGTGCATTTCATTATGCTATATTCGGAAGAATTATATTTAATATGTCGAATATAAACATTGTGAACTTAAGTAATTTCTACAATACAGAAGATTCCCTTGCCTGTTAAATGATCGAACTAATCTTCTAATCTTGAAAATCTGGGAAGTTGTCAATTTGATGTTTTCTATTTAAGTCAACCTAGATTGAGCCATTGAGTTACGATGTCCCGTTATCACAGTAGAATTGTGGGTTTTATAATTCTTGTCCTTCTTTAATATGTCATTGTATTACAATTTATGAATCTATGAAAGATTCACTATTTCATTAGATTGTCTTCCTAATGATTTTCTTTCTTACTTGGACAGAAATGGTGCTCAGAAGTTACTAGGTATCTTGATCGCAGTTGGTGAGGCGGTTGCGTATGTTCTCTCAGGAATGTACGGCAGTGTTGGCCAACTTGGAGTTGGTAACGCAATTCTTATAATTCTGCAACTCTGCTTCGCTGGCATTATCGTTATTTGTCTCGACGAACTTCTCCAGAAAGGATATGGTCTGGGCTCTGGTATTTCACTCTTCATCGCAACAAATATTTGGTAAGCGGTTGTTACTCATTGTCGTATTAATTATGTGGTCACTGGTCATGAATACGTGCGTTTGCTTAAGAGTTTACTCGTTTTAACAGTGAAAGCATAATTTGGAAAGCATTTAGCCCAACTACTATCAATAGCGGGCGTGGAGCTGAGTTTGAAGGTGCTGTTATTGCTCTATTCCATTTGTTGATAACACGGACTGACAAAGTTCGTGCGTTGCGAGAGGCATTCTACCGGCAGAATCTTCCGAATATCACAAACTTACTTGCCACGGTTCTGGTGTTCCTTATCGTCATTTACTTCCAAGGCTTCCGTGTGGTCTTGCCCGTGAGGTCAAAGAATGCCCGTGGACAACAGGGTTCGTATCCAATTAAGTTGTTCTACACTTCCAACATGCCCATCATTTTGCAGTCCGCTCTCGTGTCAAATCTGTACTTCATCTCACAGGTATTAAATTATCTCGGTAGTTTGGATGAGTTTGAGATCTATTGCCTTTTTAAATAGTGAGGCAAACTAATTTGACTTGTATTTTGTGCAGTTACTTTATAGGCGATATGGTGGAAATTTCCTTGTGAATCTTTTAGGAATTTGGAAGGAATCGGAATATTCCGGTCAATCTATTCCCGTTGGTGGTCTTGCTTATTACATTACTGCCCCATCAAGGTAATTCAGCTCCTGATTTGTATTTTCTTTTTTCATCTTTTTGTTGACTTTGTTGATGAGTTTAACTTACGTATTTCTTGAACTTAATTATGACTCACAGCTTGTCGGATATATTGGCCCATCCTTTCCATGGACTGTTTTATGTTGTGTTTATGCTGTCTGCGTGTGCTTTATTCTCAAAAACCTGGATTGAGGTCTCGGGATCCTCCGCTAAAGATGTGGCTAAACAGCTCAAGGTAAAATATTTTGATACTCGATTCGGTAATTTAGTCTCTACTTCACGTTATATCTACGGTCATACATGATCTTCTTGAAAAATCTTTGCATCGTACTCCGTGATTATTCTCCATAAGCATCCAATAAAAACCGATGGCCCTTAATGTAGATATCATGTTTATGTACCATCGATTATTTGGGTCCGAGTCTATATTTCAAATTCTGCCTCTCCCAGTATTACGAATTTGATTTTTTTTTTAAAAGCAGATATATCATTATTTTTTGGACGGTTTTTCAGGAGCAACAAATGGTGATGCCTGGGCATAGAGAATCGAATTTACAGAAGGAGCTGAACCGATATATCCCAACTGCAGCAGCTTTTGGTGGGATGTGTATCGGTGCACTAACTGTGTTGGCCGATCTTATGGGTGCAATTGGTTCAGGCACAGGTATTCTTCTCGCAGTCACTATCATATATCAGTATTTCGAGACCTTCGAAAAGGAGAAAGCTAGTGAGCTTGGATTCTTCGGTTTCTAGAGCACTAGCATACGTTGCCTGAAATCTTTCAGCAAATTTGGGAAATGTAAAAGAAGAATTCACGAAAGATTCGAAACAGGAGATTGTAGTGTTTAGTTTGTTGTTAGTTTGTTAGATCTTTCTTTCTTGCTAGTTGTTTCGAGACTTTTGAAATTTGGTGAGTTGGCCGAAATTACAGTTTATTACTTCACTGAGATTTTGATGTTTTGGTAACAAATACCTGTATTTTATTCAAGTTTTTGGTTCTTTAGACTACTTACTTTGCTTTCTTCCTCCATTTATCTTATATATACATATATATATATAGAGTGTGTGTGTGTGTGTGTGTGTGTGTGTGTGTGTGTGTGTGTGTTCATTGTCATGTTTTTGATATGAATGCCTACACCTCCTTTTCAATTTTTCTCTCGAAACATATTTCCTGAAAATAAATTAGAAACATGTCGAAAGAGAACCAACATAGCTGTTAAATTTTAGCTCGAATACGGAGAAATATATATTACATAAATCAGTTGTGCGTCACAAACTCGACCTAAAAAGTATGAACAAGAGGGCTTTGGTTGATTCAGGTCATTTTACTCTAATCTTTCTTACTTCACCAACTAAACCGCTCTTACGTATTTCATTGCATCAATCATTTTGTATCATGTGATGTAAGATCATCGTTACAAGATTGTTTTCCAACTTTTTTTCTAAGTAATTAAGATTTTAGACTTCGAAATATTGCATTTTTTACTTTTTCTTTTTACTGTAAATGAAAATAAAATATAAAATAATATTTTTAAATTTTAACTAAATATTTGGAATAAAATATTTTGAATAAAAAATAGATAGTACCAAAAGAAAACATGGGAATCAATGTTAAACATTGTTAACCACAAATTTTCGAGTCTACAAAATATAAATACTTGTCAGGAAAATAGGGAACAAACAATTTCATTAATCAAACAAAATGGATTAAAATCTCTGGAATATCTCTGATTCTTCTCTCCTAATTCAATTCAAGGAATTAGAAACTTTTTCTTGAATCAAATAAATATAAACACCTTAAATTCAAAAGTCTTTATAAATTCACGACGGAGACTCGGGACTTGAGCTTAAAAGCTTGATATTTGTCTATATAAGTCCGAATTTATAGGGTCCTTAATTGGCTTGTCTGCATGACAATGAAATAAATTAATTTCATTTGCTTGTGTTAGAGAAAAACCAGTTGAGATTTCTTGTAGTTTTCAATAAACCAAATTTATGGCAAAAATACATCTCTTGAGACCAATGGAGGCAAGGCCGGTTCTAAGTGGGGGCCATTTTTTTTTTTGTGAATTTTAAGGACAACTAAAAAATTATAAAATATTTATAAATTGATATTTATGTAAATAAATTTATGATAATATAAATTTGTGGGGCCTAAATTTAAACTAATAGCTTACTTGACTTCGACTTCGATACTATATGTATGACCTTAGGTGCTACGAATTGTTCTAAAATTAATTGATGTCAGAAAATACGCAAACCTAGCCTTATACCCGGGCGTCCCCACGTGGATAATTGCTATCAAATACAGGCTAACAATATGTAATATGAATCAAATATAATATTAAAGAAAAATAAGTAAATTGTTTAAATTCAACAGTGGTAGGTATTTGGATTTTTTTTTTTTTTTTATGTTGATGATTCAATTTCAGTATAGAAAGCAATTGCCTGTCGAATTTAGTCGTGGAAAGTGTTGCTATATAGAAATAATCAATCAAATTATATTTGACTATTCAATATTGAATATTGATTTCCGATTACAATTCCCACTTCTCTCACACATAACGACATCTTCCAGAATTACGAACGTACCCTTGCGAGTATAAAATTTTGGTTCCGCCACTGACACACAATTTTCTTTAGATTTTATTTCGGAACAAAATTCAAAATTATTTAACATTGCAACTACAAAATATACATTAATTAAAAAAATTAAAACTGATTGGTTAAACCCGAATCCCATAAAAAACCCAACCCATGAACACCCCTAATTGTTTTTTGGGCAATTTACGGCCACTCTTGAGATATGACAAAATTACTAAAAAATCTCTCTTGTTTGGGTAATTACAGTCACCCCCTCCTTTTAAATATTTTTACATAAAATGTATGTAATTCGGTTATTTATCGAACCAAATCGTATATTCAGTTCGGTAAACAATATGAAATATTGGCGTACCGAAATTTCGGTTCGGTTTTACCGAATTAACATCCCTAAATTTACCTTTGGAGAGGTAATTTCGTAAGATAATACATAATTGAGATATGTAACTATAATTATCTAAACAGAAGGGAATTTTTTATAATTAACCATAACTCAAGGGTGGTCGTAATTTACCCTTATTTTTTTGGGAAAGATCCAAGGGCAAAACCGTCAAAATGCGAAACCAGAATTTGTAATTTAATAATTCTTAATATTTACTCTATCTAGTCGTGTTTGGTATATTTGATATTTCTCCTCTCTCTCTCTCCCAAAAGAAAGCCTCCATTTTCTTCTTCTTCTTCTTCTAATAAGTTCTAAAGCTAATCAAAGCATCAACAATCCTTCTCCAACCCGACCCGACCCGACCCGACCCGATTGGAACCGACCCATTTTTGTGAGATGAAAAACCCGATTCATAACAGCAACTAATTAAGTCATGCAGAAAGACTTGTCTTCTGATTGAAGTTTCTTTACATGGTTAGTTCTTTTCTTCTTCTGTCTTTTTAATTTCTATGTGTTTTTAATTCATAGTTCTTTTTTTTTTTTTTTTTTTTAATTGCAATCTTATGTGTTTATGTTCTTCTCTGCGTTTGGTTCCTCTGTTTTGGACACGCACTTACTGTGTGTATTTATTAATTTATATTACATGTTTTTTTTTTTTTTTTTTTTTTAGTTATGTCCACATGTAAGGTCAAATTACGAAAAAAATCTCCTGTTTGGTAATTGCAATCACTCATCGGTTATAAATCTTCTTACAATCCGTGAAATGTTTTTTAATTTGTATGCACCACAATATGTTATTTACAAGCCAAGAGACACATTTTATGATCAGTTTATTTCAAAATGTGGAGCTGATAAAACGGTACAAACTGGAGAATATTCCTAATAATCTAGAAGATTCCACTAAATTTGACAACATAAAGACGAACGTATAAAAAAATTTATACTTGATTGGTAATTGTCATTATCCAAATTTTAAGGGGTTTTTTGTAATTTGACTTTAATTCAGGGGCATGCCGTAATTTAAATATTTTTTTTTTGGAATTTCCGTTGATGGGAATCCAAGCCTAAATTCTGCAGCTGTGTTTTTTTTTGGAAGGTAAGTCTGTTTTTTTTTTTCTTTTATTAAAAATAAAAACCGTGTTTTTTTACCCTCGTAGGCCGTAGCCTAGTTTCCTCCCGTCGCAAAAACAAGAAACATATATATATATGTATGCATGTCCGATAATAATAATAATTAGGTGTAACATCTATAAAACCGTAAACTAAATGATGTGGGGCCCGAGGCCCGTATTTTTCGCTAGTGTTTCTATCCGTTGGATGCCAATTGATAAGAGTTACAATGTGTCTTATCACTTATGTATGGCGATTCATATTTGTTGAGCGTTGATTCGAAGTAATCATATATTTATATTTATATTTATATTTATATAAATATAATAATTATGGCCATGTAATTAATAAATTTACCAAAATCTGGTATGTGCCAAAATCGTGCATTTAATTGCAAATCTGTCTTGTGGGTTCGCACATCTGGTCCTCGTTCCATCTTAATTTATCACACATTATTAATATTATTATTATTAGTATTATTATTACTCTCTTTTTAACTTATTATTATTATTATCGTACAAATTTATTTATATACATATATTAAAATACTGCACGTACGTAAGAAAATAATCATTTATTTATGATTGAGATTCCGACTGTTGGTGGCTGCGAATGGTTTTCAAGATTTGTTCTTAGACGTGCCTAAATTGCTCTTATTTTTTTATTCTTTTTTTATTTATTATTTATAATAAAATATTGGGATTTGGTTAAATTATAAATATATCTAATGAAATTAATTGCACATTTGCACTACTTACGTAGATAGTGTTGTAGCGTGGGGATTAGTTATATTTCATTGTCAAACATTGATTTGACTAATTCAATTTTGAGAATTTATTAATTAAGGAAAATAGAAATCACTGGTTCTGACTATAAGCGAGAGAAGCGGTCGCATCGGCTCCCCCTAATTTTTAGAAAAAAAAAACACGGCCCCCCAAATAATGTTTTGTAGTATTTATATATACTAATCATAGTATTAAACGATATTTAAAATATATAAACACTTCAGCAATTTGAATAACCATAACTATATTATTTTACATAGTATAAGTATTCGTTGAAATTTTATACATTTATTCTTGCATTTGATGTGAATGAAATGTTCTATAGCAATTATAATTAGTTAGATATTGAGTTCAGTCTACCAATTCCTTTTAATTATTTCAAGATTTTAAACTTTTTTCCAGCAATCTTTTCATTTTTTTAATAATCTACATTGTATATCTCTATTTTAAAAGAGTTTAGGCAAGTTAAAATATACTACATCTTATTTTATTATAGTTAAACGAATGTTATATATATTTACTTATTCAATAATATTTCTATGACTATTTTAAAAATATCAAGACATTGCCCCGAACCCTGTAAACTTATAGTTTATCTTAACTTCGTCAATAATATTTCAGTTATATTTCCTCCAAAATTCTTAACTGCTACTCAAAAAATTATTGTCCAGTCGCGCTCGTTATAATCAATTAATTTGTGCATTTATAAATTTATACAATACCAATAGTACTTATTCTTCCCGTTGAGCAGTTGCTCAACTTTAACTTCAAAGGATCCAAAAAATAATAATAATAAAAATAAAAATAAAATTAAATTAAACAATTTCAAAATGGCCTCGATCCAAGAGATAAAGCACACACCTTTATTTATCTTTTATTACAAAAAAAACCCTCACAATAAATATTTATTTAGATCACAATCATTATTGTCATTGTCCTTCATAATATTCCATTCCATACTTAAGAGAAAATATTCTCTATAATCACTTTTAGCCAGCTTAATTTCACAGCTTCTGCTTAATTAATTCCATCTTTCTTGATTTATACAGATGGATTCAGTTACTACAACCCCAAGAAAGAGCAGATTAGCTCGAACTTTCGCTAAGGTTCGGCACATACAAGCCGTGATCAATGTCCAAAAGACGAAAATACCCTTCGACAAGAAAAAAACGACGAAAAAAACTCCTCCGGTAGCGAAGAACGACAACGAAAACGATGCGGTTATCGAAGAAGCTTTTCTTGCGAAAGTATTCGCCACCGTATCCTCGATCAAAGCCGCGTACGCGGAGATGCAATTCGCTCAGCTCCCTTACGACGCCGACGGAATCCACTCCGCGGATCAAACGGTCGTATCGGAGCTCGGAAACTTGTCCGAGTTAAAACAGAGTTACTTCAAGAAACAGTTCGACGAGATGATGTTACTAACGCCGGACAAAAGTATGCTTATGTCGGAGATTCAAGAGCAGAAATCTCTTCTCAAAACTTACGAAATCACGGCCAAGAAATTGGATTCGCAGCTCAAGCTTAAGGACTCCGAGATCACGTTTCTCGAGGAGAAGTTAGCGGAAGCCGTTAGCGACAACAAATCGCTCGAGAAGCGGATATTGAAATCGAAATCGAACTCGCCGAGTGAGAATGAAAATAGTTTACGGCACGGCCATTTTGTTGCGTACTTTCATCAGGCCATTAAATCAATCCGAAGATTTGTCCGTTTGTTGGTAAGCGAGATGCAATTTTCGGGATGGGATTTGGAAGCCGCGGCGGGGTCCATCGAGCCGGGAGTTTCGTTTTGGAAGCCGAATCATATTTGTTTCGCGTTTGAGTCCTTCGTGTGCAGAGTTATGTTTGATGGTTTCAACAACCCTAATTTCTCCGACGAAATCGAGTTTAGAAAAAGCCGTCGCCTATTTAGCGACGGATTCACGGAGCTGAAATCCGTAGAGTCGTTTGCAGAATTTCGTCGCGCCAAGTACTTGAAGCTAATGCATCCGAAGATGGAAGAGTCCCTTTTCGGGAACTTGGATGTGAGGAATAGTTTGGTGGGCCCCGGTGGCCCGATTGAATTTCCGAAAAGGGCCTTCTTTGCAGCATTCGGTGACATGGCGAAGTGCGTGTGGGTCCTACATTGCCACGCGTGCTCTTTCGATAGTGAGGTGTCTGTCTTTCGAGTGGATAAGGGGAGCCGTTTTTCCGAGGTTTATATGGAGAGCTTGAGCGATGAAGCGTTTTTGTCGTCGGAAATTGATTACCCTCGCGTGGCTTTTACGGTTGTTCCGGGGTTTAGTGTCGGTGGGACCCTCGTTCAGTGTCAGGTGTACCTGTGCTGATCTGTTTTATTAGATGCTACACTCTGTGAAATATATCGTGTATAATATATATTGAGAATTATTTTTTTATGGATTGTCTAGATATTTTAGGACTTCTATATATTGGATTTTGGAGAGATCAATTATTGTGTTATATATATTTTTATTATTTATTTTAATGGTAGTAATAGGTGTATATTGTAGTGATATATATCATACATTAAATAAAGTTTTTTTAACTATATAATTTGATGTACTATAATAGTGCCTTTTTATTTGCTTTTAGACACTAACATGTGAACTTCTTCTTATGCTTTGTACAACTGGAGTTGGACTAGTTGCTTAACAAATTATAGTTGATGTTAAGTTTAATTATTATATATTTATATAAGGCTTAGGGCTTGTTTGGTTAAGTTTTTTTCTTTTTTTTTTTTAAAATAATTGGTAAGTTTTTAGGTCTGATAAACTGTTTCAAAAGTTAATAAGCTATTGCATCTGATTTTTAGAATTAATTTTAAAAATGTTTGAATAATGAGCTTATAAGTTATTTTTTTTAGAGAAATGTAAAATGGAAGAAAAGGGTTATTTGTGAAAATTATTATTACAACAAATTTGTTTTTTTCAATAAATTGGTGAATGTGTGAATTAATTGGAAGTTGATAGTTGAACTAATTGGGCAATAATACCCTTTTAAGTACACATTATCAAGATTGTAATTTCAACCTAACATATGCCCTTACATTGGAGTTACACATCATTATGTATAATAGTTACCTAATCTTTATACCCTAAAACAATCTAATAATAAAATACAACTACGATATATATGATTGTGATGTTTCGAAACTCGTTTTATTTCAATTTCTTGATTTAAACTCGAAAATCATAAGCAATGTGACCGGCATTAAGATGAATTTAAATTAATGACCAATTCCAGGACTAGGAACGGATCCCAGCGTACGGCGACGATCCATACGAACAACATGTTCGATTCGACTCGGACTAGAAGAAGAAGGTTCGTGTTGTGGTAGAACCCTAACGTGGCCTTCTTGAAGTGAACTCAATACTATCAAAAGCTTTCTAGCTTCCAAAACTTGTGATAAACACATCAAAACAAGAATTAGGGCAATTGAACAATTTCTCAAATGGACCATTTTGCAATAAGTGGAAATATGAATTAAGGGAGAAAATAGAACAAAAAAAGTAGTTAATAATTTGGAATGAAGAAAAATGGAGGGAGTGGAATCCTTATATAGTTGCACATTGACTAATCTATCTAATTTTTTTTTTAAAATTTATTTATTATTGTTATTATTATTTTAATTTATATAATATTTTGTTTGCTAGTAGTATTGCAATTTGAGATTGCCGCCGGCTAAAGTGATGTATCTAAGTTTCATGTGTCTAATTACTGGTCTATGAGATGCTGCACCTAACGAAGTACATCGATTAATTTTATACCGTAGATCTATATAAATAGTCGCGCCCACTGAGTACACATACATATGGATATGCGTTTTATTATGTGTAGATAAATGGTGTAAAATCACGAGGCGTATTTCATCGGATGTAGCAGCATCTACAAAACCGCAATGGTTCGGGGTAATCTTGCAAAAATGACCTTTTAGTAAGTTGTATCAAATTATTAATAATTATAGGTATAAATGAACTAATTTGTCGAATTTTATTGAGATTTTAAAGTTGCGTCAGAGCTGGACCTAAAAAAAATAAGAACCTCAAAAATAAAATTGCGTTTGAGGTTGACTAAATAAACATTGACACGAACTCTAATCAAATGACAATAAGTGTTATAAATTAGGTCGTTATATATATTAGCAGACATATTTCTGACGAACTTTTAATAAACGATCTCGAATCGAGTAAGATTAACTTCATTTAATTTTTCAGCCTATTGAAAATAAGACTTGTTGATCTTATTTATTTTTTGTTTTTTCTTATAGTTTTAATTTTTAATATTTAAGTTATAAATTAATTGGTTGACTATGAGCATGGAATGTAATATGCAAAGTCACGACAATCAAATAGGACAAAACTGCAGGCATCTCCAACAATAGTTACATGTAATATTCGTTAGATTAATATAGGGTAATAATATACGCATGCAAAATTAAACATTCATGCACTTTTTTACCATGAATTTTTACCTTTTTACTATAACTATTTACCTTTTGTACTATTCCTATCCAATCCTATAAAATATAAAACTCAATATTCAAAGTGAAAAAATTCAGATATTCAACAATTTTTGCGATGGATCCAACTTAGACCCGAATGTAAGTTTTTCGTTTTTTTCCCACAACCTTATCTGCTCGTGTGAATTTACCCGAGCACTTGGCAAGTGCTCGTGTAAATTCACACGAGCAGATGAATTTTTATTTTATTCATGTGCTCGTGTGAATTTACGCGAGCACTTGGCAAGTGCTTTCAGTACTAAAGAGAGTTTTTGAGTTTTTTACTTTTTGTTTTTTGAAGAATGGTAAAAAATGTGCCTGACTGTTTAATATGTGCCTGCACAAATCATTTCAGATTAATATATGTAGATAAATAATGCAGAATCACCCGTTGTATTTCATTCGGGTGTAAGCATCTACAAACATCTCTCTCTCTAAAATAAATCGTTTAAAGTATAATACTGAATATTTTTGACATTATTATATCTACTTAAATTCACTTTATATGTACATTTGAAACATTTTACAAAAATAAGTTGAAAGTTCAAATTTATTTTGCAAACATTTTGGTAATATTTGGTTATGTTTTCACTTTATTTCTATTGTTTTTCCGTAACGAATTTGTGTTTGTGTAGCTTTTTACAAAAAAATCTCATAACGATTTATAAAGTTTATTTCTTATTTAGACATGATATGACTGCTACAAAAGAAATGTATTCACCACAAAATAAACTATCATCACTTGAAATTTTGAATTATTCTTCTAAAATCAAAATTTCCAACACCTATAAACATGATTTGACTTCTACAGTCTATTTTGTTTCATTCTTAAAATATATTTCCCGAAAATAAATTGGAAGCAACTCTCAAAACAATTTAAAAAATTGTCGTTTCAACTTCTAAATTGGTTATTGATATGCCTAATTGGGCCAACCCAATGTGCCTACGATTTCTTTACATACTGGGTCACGAGTCCAATATTGAATACCACTACAACAAATGCCCAATCACCTTCAAATAAGGTTTGGGCCCGACAATTACAATCAAGTAACTTCAGCCCAACCAACTCGGTATAAATAAAGATGACAATTCATTTGTTAAGGTACGTTCAATTTGGAATCATATAACTGTTCGTATTTTCTCTACGACTTTTACTATCCACACACCTGACTTGAGCGTCGGAGGAGTTTTCGCGGGATCAAACCCCAACTTAGTTTACGTGTTCTTGATTGTAGGTATCCCAAGATCATCAACCTCATGAGCCAGTGATCCACTTTGCTCTTCCAGCTCATTCTACTTCAACTACTTAAGGTGATTTATCTCTAACATCATCATAATGGCGCCGTATGTGGGAAGGCATACGAGATCACGTAGCGGGCATAATGAGATATCTGCTCGTGGAAAGCATGACACTACCAACAACTTCTCGCCTCGGCGAGGCTCTGACTTGCCACTTCCCGCTCCCCGTATTCGGGATCCAACACAAGTTCTGTAAAGTATCTGGCGAAAAACAAACGACTGAATAAAGTGAAAAAAAAGGCTGTAAAAGCGAAAAATTTGGTGAACATTTGTCTAAATAAAACAACATATATATTGACATTTTTCGGTGTATTTTCGTTAAAAAAAAAAAAACCCAACATTTATTTGCAATAGTCGGTCAAAGGATTTGACTAACGGAAATTAGGAAAAAGGCTAACGATAGGGAAGTGTTTGATATTTTCTATACTTTAGGGAGATAAATGATACATTTCTGATAGTACAGGGGTGCAAAGTCAAATTTACCGTATCTTGTAAGCTACTAGTAATGGGCTTTGGGAGAATGTACAACCCCAGTCCATATATCAGCCCAAATTTGACTTCACTATAAAAAAAAAAAAGATAAAAATAATAATAATAAATAAATAAGTAGAAAAAAAACCCTCCCGCTCTTTTCACTCAGAATTCAGAAATTTCTCAAATCCAAACCCCTAATCCCCAATCCAAAAACCCACCGTTTCAATCTCAGAATTCAGAATTCAGAAATCAAATTCGATACTCACAGCTATCAGAAGAAGAAGAAAATGAGGGAGGAGCAAATTGAGAAGCTCCGTGTGGTGGTGCGGGACTGCGTGAGCAAGCATTTGTACTCGTCGGCGATCTTCTTCGCCGACAAGGTGGCGGCACTGACGTCGGACCCCGCCGATATTTACATGCAGGCACAGGCGCTGTACCTCGGCCGCCACTACCGCCGCGCCTTCCACCTCCTCAACGCCTCCCAAATTGTCCTCCGCGACCTTCGCTTCCGCTACCTTGCTGCCAAATGCCTTGTAATATTTCTTCTTCTTCCCCGAAATCGAGCAAAAAATGTGTGCCGATATGATATAAAACTGGATTTTAATGAACGATTTTGAGATAGGTTACTGCTCGGTGTTTTTTTTTTTTTTTTTCCATATCTTTTTATATCTTATGGGGAGGTCACGTCACAGTGGCGGTGAGTTATTTGTGTTATTTTTTAAGTGTGACAGACTTATTTTAGTTGAATAGTTACATTTAATTTCAAAAGATTTAAACTTTATTTGGAGAATCAGGATTTCGTCATCCATTTAATATCTTGCTGCAAAAATTCAGGCTGTTGAGTACATTTGGAAGTTTTAGCTTTCCTTTTTTCTTTTTATAAATTTTCCAATAATCAATCCCCTGTGGAGGTGGTGACTTATATTTCAAACAACAGTTAAAGAATAAATTGCTCAATTAGCTACCGGACTCCTCGTAATTATTTCAAAGAGTGCCTGCGACAAGTGCTTCAGTAATCGATCTTCAATAAGATAGGACTAATTTAACGATTTATCTCACAATTCTTTACAATCACTTAATCGGTGATCTACTGGATGTCTACAATTAACAATTTCATCTTATAATATGTTTTTTTCCGTATGGATTCTGTAATTATGTAGTTCTATGAGTATCTATTTCTTGTCTATACGTATTAGTGATTGATTGGTTGCCAAAAAAGTAATTAGTTTTATGTGGGTACTCCATCTTAAATAAAAATCATATCCTACTACCAGGAAGAACTGAAGGAGTGGGATCAGTGCCTGTTGATGCTTGGTGATGCTAAAGTGGACGAACATGGTAATATCACTGACACAAAGGATTACAATAGCATGTACCTGGATAAAGAGGGTGAAGATCGTGAAATCAATGTAAGTTTATTTTGATCCAAGAATATATGTTGCATTTACTGTTGGGACCCTAATGAGGGGAATTAAGAACATTTAATACTTAATATATAATGGTCAGTGAAGAAATGATGGTACATTCTTATGACAGATTATATCAGCAATCTGCTTCTTAAGAGGTAAGGCATACGAGGCCTTGGAAAATCGTGTGCAGGCTCGGTTATGGTGCGTGAAATTTGATATTAATTTTGCCCTTAGTCATTTGTTTTTAGTTTTTGGTATATCACGACTTGTTGTTTTATGATATGATCTAATGTGGCTGTATTGCTAATCCTAAAGGTTTGAAGTTCTAACAATTCAAAAAGAGAACAGTTGGTAGAAACAAATAGTGCCAAAGTACGATTCTCAGAAATTAGTAGAGGAAAAAATAATTACGATTGAGAACTTGTTTAAACAAAAGGATATTGGACAATATCAATCACACTCTCTATACAAATAACGGATTTGAGATTTGCACTTTATTAAAGCAGTGAAAAATTGATGATTGCAGAAGGTTTTTTGCTGAAATTATCCTGAAACCGGAAACAATAACTTTTGAAATAGACATAGTTTGATATCTCAGAACTGAGTAGGGTAACAGCTTTAGGCTATTCTGGCTGCCTGGAACAATGAGTAACACGATAACCTGTTTCAAATAGATGGCGACATTACTACATATGGAACTTTCATCACTATATGGATGGATAAACACTAGAATGTGACATTTTATGTAGCTATGTCATTTGAATGATGAAAAATAAGTTAAATAGGACATGGACACATGTATTTCAACTACAAGGTTACCGTGTTGTGTGTGTGTGTGTGTGTATAAAATTCCCTGTATGCTGTTTCCTATAAAACATCTTAGGTATATGTTAGAAATGATAAATTTAGAGATTGTGCTCCATCTTCATATATAATACTATCAGAGGGTGTGCTCTATCCTTTTCCGGTTCATTTTTGGTATTACTTGATCACCGATCTCATTCTGTTCTTTCTCTTGCATCATTTTAGCTCAACCGCATGCTCTCCCTTTTCTTTTTTGTCCGTATTCAGTGCAGTACTCTTCTATAGTTGTTAGAAGTTACAGAGTAGATTTGTCTAAGCTAAGAGAGCTCAGTTTAATTGACCTTTCTCATGACATTTGAAGGTACAAAGCTGCCATCAGAGCTGATCCTCTGTGTTATGAGGTACGTCACTGACCATATTACAGTATAGTTCATATCAGTATCATTTGAAATATTTGCTAAAGCTGTTAGTAGATTGACAGCAATGATCAATGTTGGAGTGAACTCATTAATGATCTTGTCAGATATCAACCGACCAATAATTACTCTTTTGAAGTTTTATTATATTTATCACTATCATGGGTCATGTGCCATCACATATTTCTCTTGTTTCAGGCCTTGGAATGTCTTATAGAGGGTCACATGCTCACTTGCGAAGAAGGTGAGAACCTATCTAATGGTGACAAATGCAAGTTTGTCTTTGAATCACCCAAATTATTTTTTCTGTGTTATTCACTATTTTCCTTTTCTGCCTCTAATCGAATATCTCATATATATCACCTTGGATTATTATCATGAAAGAAATGATTTTTAGTTTTAGCAGCATATTTACTGAATGCTAGAAACCTAATCCAGTGATCTATATATTCTAGAGACCAATCTACTCGCAACTCTACAATTTGGTGCTGAAGATGGATGGCTCTCTTCATTTTATTCATGCTTGATAAAGAAAGTAAGTAAAGTCTGAGTGCTCACATACTTCCAGGTTCATCAAACTGTTCACTTCATTTTGATTAATGCGTGTATTTGAATATATGTAATATTGGTTCTGAGTATTGCGATTTCACCATTCCCAGTATGATCAAGAAAATGTTCTCAAATCCAAGTTTAGAGAACTCGAGCTGGAAGCCTCTAATACAAAGACGCCAAGGAAGTTCGTTATGTACACTGAAGGACAACACTGATCTCTTAGCCTGCAAAGCTGAATATTATCATCAGTGCGGCGAATACCAGAAATGTTTTGAACTAACATCAATGTGGGTTTTTAATTATGTATGAACAGAGATTAACATTTATTTCGTTAACAACGTCGATTGCTTATTTACATGTGTTCAATTCAGATTGCTCGAGAAGGACCCTTTTCACCTAAAGTGTACCCTGGTCCATCTAGCAGCAGCCATGGAACTTGGACATTCCAATGAACTCTATCTAATGGCATGCAATCTAGTCAAGGACTATCCTCAAAAGTGAGAATTCATTACGTTAGCATATCACTTACCTTATTACCGATCTGTAACAAAAAACTATGTTTTTCCTTTTATTCAGAGCACTGTCATGGTTTGCAGTGGGTTGCTACTACTTCTGTACAAAAAAGTATGATCAATCACGTCGTTATTTCAGGTATATACTTTGAAATTGGTTTTCTAGGACTATGATCTTTTATCTTTGGGATACATTCTTTTCTTGCCAGAATTGGATTGCTTTTGGATTCTTTTTTGTGGGGTTGAGGGCGGGAAAGGAGATTACGCCATTTCCATCCTGATTCAAGTTCAACACTTACTGCTACATTTATATCAATAATCATTTTCATATGAATTTTACCATTTGTTTTGGAAAACTCGGTCCTACTGTTCGATCCTATTTCTGCTGGTCAAGTGTTGCCAATTCACAGTCCCTGGTAATATTATACTTTATATAGTTGATAGTCGGGTCATTGTATGCAACAAACTGAAGCATGTGAGAAAGGGCCTAATTTCTACTACTAATATCAGCTTTGGAAACGTTAGAAACATTACTTACGGTGGGACCTAATTTTGTTTGGTATCCTCAAGATTTCTGATTCATGTCCCACTTCGATTTAATTTGAGTCCCTTGTTATCCTTCTCCAGCAAGGCAACAAGTTTAGATGGAACGTTCGCTCCAGGTTGGATTGGCTGTGGAAATGCGTATGCGGCTCAAGAAGAAGGAGATCAAGCAATGTCAGCTTATCGCACTGCTGCTCGTTTATTTCCTGGGTAAATATTTTATTTTGATTTTCATCCATATGGCTGAATGGTGTCTAATAGTTTATTACATCGTCTATTCATCCTCAAGTTATACCCACAAATGATATCAATGTTCTCTTTGTAGATCTTTCCTTGTACATTCTACAATTGTGTTAGATGTTTTAATTCGTAACTGTTCTTTGATGGGTGAGGGCCACTTAATCAGGGTTTAGAAAATGTCCTGGATTAAGAAAAAGTATGAGAATACTGTTTGTTTTTCATTTGACCTAATACATTATTTGTTGGAACTCCTCGTCACATTCTTTTTTGGGAAAACTTCATTTTTAGTATCTTGAATCTTTATTCAGGTTTTTCTTTCCTCTGTCTTATAATTCTATTGATACATTGCTCCCTATTTTAGACCTTTTCAGCCAAGAGAAAGAAATACTATTTTGCCCATAAATTTTGAAGACACAGCAAATTTATCTGACCTTACTAAAGAATCGATTTATTAGAGAAATCAAAGAAAATTGTTGCTTTGAACTTTTTACATCGTTGTGTTTACACTGGCTGCATCTTCTTTAGTCTCATTCCTAGAACCCACGGAGTTTCAGACTACTACATCTCAAATATTTTTAGAAGTGTATATGAACCGAGGATGGCTGAGTTGATTAACAAGAAATTACTTTCTTACCCCCAGACCTTGTGCCTTTTAGGAGCTTGTGTTCTATACTGAGTTAATGAGAGTTCATTCATTATTAACCTATCAACCACAGTGTGCCTGTACATGTCATTTTTAGAATCTGCATGAATATTGAGACCTTTATTTCCTTTTTTTTTGTCTCGTGTTCTGTTTCATTTCACGATTAGTGGAACATTTATACAAAATACATATATTGATGTAGTATATATGTATTTCTTTGTATATGCATATATGTACACATTCGGTTCTGGGTTATGAGCTTGACGATAAATTTGCTGATCAGGAATCATTAGTGATTCTTGATGATGTTTAATGAAATCGGAAAGTCACACGTTGAAATTCCTTTTATTACTTATAATAAGATGAGTTATAAGTACTCGTTGGTTTTTACAGATTGAATATTGGTTTTCTTTTATTCTAGGTGTCATTTGCCAACTCTATACATAGGAATGGAGTACATGCGAACCCATAGCTTCAAACTTGCTGAGCAGGTGATCTGAACTCCTTGTTCATGGCTTTGCGTATTATTCACCTGGTTCATTATTCTAAAGGGAAGTCGGGTGCAGTTTTTCATGCAGGCCCAGATTATATGTCCTTCAGATCCACTTGTATATAATGAGCTTGGTGTCGTGGCTTATCATATGAAGGAGTAAGATTTATAACCCTTACCATTCGTTTGAATTTTTAACTTCTGTTGTTCTAGAAAATGCAGAATGTACGTTTTTCTACTAATACGAGATTGGGAAGAATTGTGCTTGGACTCCATTGTGTATATATCAGATTCTATTTAGGATATTATGATTAGTGATTTGCCTTCACAATATTCTTTCAGGTATAAGAAGGCCGTGTGGTGGTTTGAGAAGACATTGGCTCATGTACCATCTTCTTTAAGTGAGATGTGGGAACCGACTCTAGTCAACCTTGCTCATTCATTGAGAAAATTGAAGTATGTCTTACTCTTTTATTCTTCGGAGAATTGTTACCAAAGTTAGCCATAGAAACGACAGTGCTTAACTGCTTTTATTTCATAATCTTGTGACGTGGGATTTTGTCCTTTTCTCTTGGTTCTCGTTCATCGCTAATTTTTTTTTTAACTCCAGCTTAGTTTTGGTTGGATGCAACTGCTCACAGTTAATGCGCTCATGGTTCTCTTACACTTTCATAATATCATCTGTTTACATGTAATTCTCCAGAAAGGTCTTTCGTCTGAAAAATAATTTATACATATTTTTTTTCCCGTTCTGGTTTTTTGATCCATTCACAAGACTTACTTTTCCTGATAAATTTATGCTATTTCGATTGCTTGTTATCCAAATTTCAGTTCTACGTTATGTTGTGATTGACGATCGATAAAATTTCCTTATGGTCAGGAGGTACAATGAGGCAATTACTTACTACGAGAAAGCACTTGCATTGTCAACAAGAAGTTTGAGTACATATGCGGGTCTAGCTTACACATACCATCTGCAGGTAATTATTTCTCAATTTCCCGTCTTTTTATTATCTTCTGAAAATGAGGTTCGGAGTATCTTATATGTGTTCCATTTTATAGGAAAATTTTACAGCTGCAATTACATACTATCACAAGGTACGATTATTTTTCAATTATCTGAATTCCACGCTCCTGCAATTACTGAGAAACTTCATTTTTTTGACTTGCTAATAGAGATATTGTTTTATGAACAGGCTCTATGGATCAAAACAGACGACCAATTTTGTACAGAGATGCTGACTTTAGCGCTTTCAGATGAATGCCGCCTTGGTATAGACCCAAAAGTCGAGACGATTAGAAGTCAGTTATTTACTTAAATAATGAAATGTGTTCCATATTTATTGATTTTGTTTATGTAATTTATTATAATAGCAAATGACGGTCAAAGATAGCCGAAACGTAGGGGCTAGGCCATATTCGATTGTTGTATAATGTCATAGTAGTAGCTGTGCTGTAGCGCAACACTGCCTTCGTTAAATTAAATCCGAACAAAATTTTGCCAAAATCAACTTGAAATACGTATTATTTATATCCAATTAATCGACTTATATATGTTCTATGAGGAAGTTGATTTTCTTTTATTTGAGGAATTCGTATTTCTTGCCAAGTTAATATTAATATTGGATTTGCTCATTTGATCCATGACCCTGTTTTCTCTCTCTCTCCCTATTTATCAGGTGCAAAAAGAAGAAAAACAACAGAGAATTTTCTCTCATAAGTCATAGGTGCTGTAAATACATATTAGAAGTATGTATAGAGAGATTTTTTTTTTGAGAGCTGTATAGAGAAAGAAGCACTATGAACAAATGGTTTTTTGGTGACTTGTAAAATTTGAAACTTGACTTACAGGGTGTTTGGCTAATCTTCCAAGTTGTTATAACAACTTATAAAATGTTGCAGAGTTTATAAGCTCTTTCAAAATATTCGGTAAAAAATCTATAAAAAAAACTTAATAATTCAAAAACTAAGTTGGTGGTGAGCTTATAATTTGATAAGAAGTAATAATATCTTATACGCACATTGTCGAAACACTCCAAAAATTATTCTAAAAATAGAAGTTAGCGGCTTATGAGTTATTTAAAATAAGCTTAGCCAAACGGGCTCGTATCTTAATCGTCACTAGTCACTATAGTATGAGAACACATAACACACATTCAATCAACAGCAACAAACCTCTTTTCTCTCTTCCTGTTTAGCTACAAACTTAAAAAGAAGAAAAAAAAAAAAAAAAAAACCAAATACTAATCTTCAAAGTTCAATTAAATATGAATTGATTAAGGCAAGACTTTTTTTGTATAATTTTAACTAAGGATGTTCTATAGTCATCGGTCACGTCAACTTTCGCTTCTTCAATCTCTCTTTCTCCGAGAAATATCAACAATGTACGAATTCAAATGCTCGCCAAATATTTTAGTAGAAAACGACTGCACCACATGCTCACGAGCTTCTCTGCCCATAGTTTTCGTCAATTGAGGATCAATAATAAACTTAGCCATAGCTGTAGAGAAGTCTTTAGGGTTAGGTTCACAAAGATAGCCCGTTACTCCATTCTTTATACTCTCGACCGGGCCCCCGCTATTGCATGCAATTACGGGCTTGTGGGCTGCCATTGCTTCTATAGGTACAATACCAAAATGCTCGTCCTACATTTCAATCATTATATATCATTCTTATAATTAGTACTTGCAGCACTGTTTCAATGAATTGATGGGAAGATAAAGATAAGTAGCGAACCGTGGGAGTGTAAATTACACAAAGGCATTCGGAAATAAGAGTGTTTCTCTCGGATGTTGGACAAGATGTGATGAATCGGACTTGATTGGATACGCCTTCACGTTTTGCTAAGTTTTTTAATTCCTCTAAATACTCGACATTCTCTCTGAGCCGTTTATCGAAGCCACCTGGCAACCAAAAATAAATAAATAAAAAGCAAGCGCAAATGTGAATGTAACATCAAATTTCATGCCCGACTAATCAAGATTTTTTTGAAAAACAAAATCAAGAATCTGTTGAACCAAGCAGCCGGTTTCCTAGAGAATAAACATTAAGGCCTCGTTCGGTTCCTAAAATGAGATTAGTCGAGATAAAATAAAATTAATTTTTTGAAAATTCAATTGCATTGTTTGAACATGAGTGGTCCAATAAATAATATCCCGATTAATTAAGATTATAGCCATTTTTTCTACAATTGCGAGCCGTCCGGAAAAAAGTTATTGGACTAACCAAATATCCAATAACGTCCAATTATTTAATGAATCATGTCTAATCTTACCAACCAAACGAGGCCTAAGAAGATAAATACATAATTTAAAAAGGAAAAGAAGCAACCAAAGTCATACTAACACATTTTTTTTTTGATGATTTCAACTTTATTTGATCACAATACTTCCTTTCCGACATGGAAAATTCTAATTGGAAATAAGTGGAGGTGTTTAAAAATAACAATTTATGGAATCCATATTGAAAAGAAAAACACGAGGCTGTTTGATTCTCATAAGTTAAAAAATAAATATTGAATACACAAAATGTCGAACCACGAATGCAAATAGATCACATGCTATTAACTTATGAAAGATAAGGATGAGATTTACCTGCAACGATCAAGGAAATATCATTTTTGTCGTCACTTTCAAGAAAATCGTGTTGGCTTTTATAAAGCATAGCGAAGGCAGATATAGCTAACTCTATATTCTTTTTCCTTTCGAAACGATTGATGGACAGAAAACTCTGCCTGAAAGAAAGCACATACAATTAGAAAAGACGAACCAATATATTACATTTTTATACACATTTTATATCTTCTGTGTTTTTTTACTTATTTTGTGATGTAGAAAAAAATTCTAATACGAAATGTTGGTAACTCGATCGTATAATTTAAAAAATTCAAAAGAGATGGAATTGGATTTGTTACTTGGTTGAGTTCGGTTCGTCAAACTGGTCAACGTTGACAGCTGGATAAAGCACTGCCGGTCTAACCCCTCGTGAGTTTAAACGATCGAAAGTCTTCGCAAAAGTTGACGCAGTAAATTTGCTGTTTACGAGAATTAAATCAGCCATACCTACAATCGACACAGACGCAGTTCATAAAAGAATCATAATTTGCAGAGGAAGATTGAAAATTTTGGACTAGAAAAATAAATACAAAAGCTTAAAAGAAACCTGTTGTTATTTCTTCTAGAAAGTCTATCGGTTTCCGATAAATTCTCCTAAGTATGGTCGTGTGTTGAGCTAGCAACATGTCTGGAAAATGGCAGTAGAATACAACCTAAATTAACAAATAAATTAATAAATTAAATATGTAAATTAGAATGCCTCGAACCAAAGGCAACAATTATTTTTTTTTAAAGTCAATTTTAACCTTGGATTGTTTTTTCAACTTCATCAGTGGAACAACGACCGAGACCTGATCCGCAAGTATAATATCGAAAGAAGGATGGAAAAATAAAACACAAAGAGCAACAAAGATACACCGCAGATACGCACACACTGCATGGAGACGATAAAAAATATGCCGAGGTAGGAAAGATCCGTACACTGTAACTGGAAAAATACCTGCACATTTTTCAGATTATTATACGAATAGTTATAAAATAAAGTGGGCGGGCCCACCAGGATGAGAAATTAAAAAAAAAAAAAGAGGAGGAATGGTACACACCAGAAACAGTTTCCTCAAAGCAACGACTTTTGTCATGGTGTGATGTAAATATATGAACATTATGACCGTTCGACGAGAGTTCGACAGCGGCGTCAACGATTAACCTTTCCGCTCCACCTAAAATTGAAAAATTGGAAAATCGAATAAAAAGAGGGAAATGTCGTAATATTCAATAATCGTGATTGTGTCGAATGTACTTCGATAATCCTATTCATACAAACTCGTAAACGATTGAGAATCAAGCTTCTTAGATCACTTGAGCAATCAAGAAATGCCCATTTATCAGAGTGTAATGAAGATGATAATAATATTACCCCAAACGATATAATAGTTACACGAAACTTTGAAACCAAAGTTGCTCTTACAAAAGAAACTGATAAAATGCCATGTTCGAGATAACAAATGCGATAATCCTCTCCATGCGAAAAACCAAACCTTAAGATTCGTGTATAATTTTCAGACAAGTGTAAAGAGCGAATAATACAGTTAAACAATTTCATTTAAAAAAAAAAAAAAAAATCCTTCGTCGACAACAGCAATTTCAAACATTTAATCTTAAATTCTTAATACATTACATGCAATAAATTCGACAAGTTTCAAATCCGTTTAGGCTTTATATTTACAGGTCTATCAGATATCAAACTCGGAGTGCACAGTTTCAATAGGAAGATTAAACGAAAAGGCGTATAGAAAAACGAACTATAAAACCGTAATTTCGATTCCAGTTAATAAGAGTTACCTATTCCAAGATCAGGATGGATAATTGCTATATTTAACTTTGAGCTTTCTTTTCTCTCCATGCTTGCTTCTTGTTGAATTTTCTGAAGGAAGAAAAAGAATTAGCACAGTTTATTTGTGTCTGAACCAATCATCTTTGAGCAATAATCCACGTCACAATTAGCTAAAAACATACAATACATGACCAATCCAAATTATATCGGGTCGAACCCAATTACCCAATTTAGGCTGTCATGGGTTTGGGGTTAGGGTTTTGACCCGAATCCGACCCGATCTTGTCCGTTACCCATCTGCCGGGTGGTTCCATTGCAGCTTTCGAGCCGATCAAAGAGCACATTTTTTTTAAATTGGGAATAAAAATAGCAGCATTGGAAAAAATTCAATTTTTCAACCATTCGAGACAGAATTTGGAAGCTTTAACATCTGGGCAAAAAAAACAAAGAAATATCAGAGTGCTTACTATGTTATACGCCGCCGCCGCCGATATGGTCGGAAAATTGGATTCAATTTCCACGTTCAGAAGGCAGTCTTCAATTTTTAAAACTTTATTACAGTAGAAATTGGATTTATTTTTGGGTAAATTCCACTTTTCCCCTTATATTATACTTTGGCTTTGTATTATTTCACCCCCTACTACTCTTAATTACATCAATTTGCCCCCCCACACTTGAAAAATTGTCTTAATATGACCCTCGCTCTTAGTTGTCAGACATTTAAACTTACACCGTTTGGTCTAAGCTCTGAAATTACAAAAACGCATCCCCAGTTTGAATAATTATTAAAAAAACAAAAAAGTAAATAAAAAAAATTCAAGACAACGAGAAAGCATAGTCACCACCACTACCGCAATTTAAATTTTTTTTTTAATTATTTAAACTGGAAGGAATTGTTTTTTTATAAATTCCAGACATTAGATCAAACGATGTTAAGGTCAAAGATCTGAGAACTAACGGCGAATGCCACATTGAAATAATTTTGCAAGTGAAGGGGGACAAATCGATGCAATCAAGAGTCTTAAGAGAGTAAAGTATTATTAAGTGGAAATTTACCCTTTATTTTTTAATTTTTTTCTCCTAAAAAAAATTAAAAAAACAAAAATGTTTTTTTAATTTATAACGACGGGCCAAAATTAAATATATTCCAAATCCACGGCGGCCCAGCCCACTGTTTTATATCCACCGACCACTTTGCTTAGCTAGAGAGAGAGAGGGTGGAGAGAGAGAGGAAAAATGATACCTTTACCGGCGAGAGACGTGGTTCGCACGAAGCTGGTGCGGCTGCTCTACTTCGTCGGAGCCGGAGGTACGTAAATTACAATCTACACCAATTTCTTCATTTTCAATTTTTCTAATTAGGGTTTCCCAATTTTGATAGTATCTCTGTGTGTGTGTGTTTTTTTTTCCTGCGAAGCTGTGTGCGCCGTCGGAATCAACAAGTGGAAAGAAGCGGAAAGAAATTCGATGTTTCAGAAGCAATTGAATTCAAAAAAATAATTATCTCTTTTTTTAGGGGTTGATTAGAAATATTCGAAATGATCAAGTAGCTTTGATTTATTTACTTTTTAGCCCCTTATATTTCCGATATGTCCTAATTGTTAGGGGGTAAATTTATAATTTTGGAGCTTATGATACATGAAGTTGATTGCAGTTAATGGGCAGTATTTAATTTAAAGATTTCTTATTTTTGGAGCATTATAATTTATATTATTGTTTTGCCCCCCTAGAATTTTCATTCTTATATATACGCCCCAGGTGAATACAAAATCGTTATAGTAAACGATAACGATATAGTGTGGAAGATCGTATGGTTATGGTCACTAAGAATTTTACGACATTTTTATACGAGTCCTTTACATATTTGTGTGTGGGCGAGTGATTAGAGATTCTTGAATAACGAAGATTGCAAGATGCAGTTTGCCCATCGATTGAAAAGAGCACGAATTATTCGGTATAAAGTACATATCTCTTATGTATTCTTAATTGACGAAATCTAATTATCGGGGGTATTGGTATTTTAAAGCTATAGCAAAATGTTTCTTGATGTCGAATAATTGATTATCCGGATATTTTCGAGTTCCCAATTGATAGAAGTTATCTATTCACATTTACGCGTACAAGTAGATTAAATATCTCGTGAAATTCACCAGGTGTAGCATTGAATGAAACCAATCACAACCCGTCTAAGACCTCTCTCAACGTGAAGACCCGACAAACGTGTTTGATAATACATAATCGGGCATATAAAACACTTGTATTATGAAAAGATCGACTTCTTTAAGTCGTCCATTTGCATCGATACTATTTCGTATATATCGTTTTTTGATGGTATTTCGTTAATTCGAATTCAAAAACTTAGATGCAACAAGCAAAGTTAGAAATGATAAAATTGTTATATGTCATTTTAATAACTTAAATGATTTAATAATGTGACAATATCTTTGAAAATTGATGCATTTAATATTTCAACAATAAGAGCAATAATAGTCAATAGCAAAAACGTGTGTAAGTAGTATATTTTAATGCATTTCCCATCTTCACCGCCACATGAGAAGTAGAAAACCTTCCATTATTGACTGGTCTTCTTATTTAGTTTTTATATGTATTTGCACAATATAAATAGAATATGTTCCTAGCATATATATTCAAATATAACTCAATCTGTGCGGCACGAAAACTTCAACTTCTCAATGTTTCTGCGTTTTGCAAACGTTTCGTGTCGGGAATTCGAAGATACCTGCAGGACACCTTATGGACAATTTTGCAAAATTTAAAAAGTTAAAAACATGTTTCAATAGCAAATTTTCAAATATTTTTGTTGTTTCTCAAATTATTTACATGATTTAATGATCGGTTGCAAATTAATAGTTGATAGTAAAATTTATTTTCAATATATTTGTATAAAAATATATAAAAAGAATTTATATATAAATAAAAACTTATATATGTTTATGTAGAATATATATAAATGCACCCCTGTACTTTTAATATTTACTCGTTTCCCCTAAGTTCCCGTATCTACATTCTGAAAATGCCGTTTCCCCGTATTCGTTTCCCGGTTTTCCCGTATCCCCGTTTTCATGTCCGTGCTGCATAAAATTGAATTGTACATCTTTTTCTTATATATAACCTCATTTATCATATACATTATTTTTTTTGAATGAAAAATACGCAACCAACTATATATGTGTCTTGAGTTAATCTACATTCTCGTATAATAGCTTGTAAACCATACAAGAGACGTAAACCATTATGGGACCATTTATCATATATGTGCGTGTAGGCTGTATGGAGTAGGGGTGGTAAACGAGCCAAGCCAACTTGTGAGATGGATGGCTTGAACTCGAACTCGAGTTTTTCGAGCTCGAGTTTTTTTTAGTTGTTTGTGAGCTCACGAGCCGGATTTTTTTCATTTGTATTACTTTTTATTTATTTATTTTTATTTAATAATGTATAATAAAATAAACTATCAATATATATATATATATATATATATATATATATATATATATATATATATATATATATATATAATTATAGTTTATTTTTAATTTTTTTTTATTATAATCTAAATAATTTTTAATAATTATTATAAAAAAAACTCAAAATGAACTTAGACTCGATCTAGAATTATAGCTTGAGCAAAAAAAAAAAAAACAAGAAACTCAACGAGCTCGACAAAATGAACTCGAGTTCGAGCATGCCAAAACGAACAAGCTCGGCTTGTTCACACCCCTAGTATGGAGTGTGACAAGAATTCTATTATTAATCACAAAAAGTATATTTAAAGACAAATAACCATTGAAAATATATAATTATCCTAGAATTTAATTCTAATCGTGATATATTATGGTTGAAATCCCACAACTCCGATCAACAAGGCTGAAATTCAGCCATGATGATATTCCATTCAATTAAAACTCATGTTATTAACTCAATATAATTAATTATATATAAAAAAAATAAAATCAAACTCAATTATAGTTTCAATTTTAATTAGATTTTTTATTTTAAATTTTAAATTTAATTATTTTATATGTCCCACTTATTTTGATTTTTCAATGAATAAAATTATGGACACAAAACCGAGTTCAATTGGTCAAACACGTTGTACCACTCTGTTACCAGGTACTCAGATTAAGGGCCTGTTTGATAAGCTCTGAATGGGCTCTGAATAACGTTAATCTCTTACTCGGTCAGTGCTCATCTTATTAAGCGTGTTTGGTGTGTGCTTCTGAACAAAGTGGTTAAGTACTTACCGAATCAGTCCAAAATATTTGGCTGAATCATCCAGAGGTAAAGCTGAACAACACGTAGACCAATTTATCCCTAAAAAACATATAATATTATATTCTCTAAAAAAGAAGAAGAAAACCACCAACTTTTTTATTTTATTTTATTTTGAATAAGCATTTACTTTTATTTTCAAATTTTATGTATACTGAAATTAGTATGTGTGGTTGGACCTTGGGATTCTGTTCTCAATATAATTTACTATTTTTTTTTTGATCTTCAACTAATTTTAACTTTAGTACATGACTACCGTATTATGTTTGATAACAATGGATGGTTCCTTCATTGTTATGCATATTTTTTTTAAAACTTCTTATTCTATTTCATAATTTAATTTTCTCACTTTATTTTAGTCGATTAGGTATTTTAGTGAAAATTTAAAATGTAACTTTTACTTTTATATATTTTTGAGAAAAAAAAATTTAGATTTATAATATTTATTTTTATCTAAAAAAATAACAATTAAAAAGGTCGTAGTTATAACTTTCTGTTTATATATAATTAATAGTTTTATTTGTAAATACATTTTATATTCAACTATTATGTGGTTAATATAGTAAAATTATATCATTCAGAAATAATATATTTTTAAGTATCAAACAAACTTAAACGTTCATCATTCAGCATTCGAATACTGATCCTAACCATTCAGTACTGTATTCAGCATTCAGTGTTCAGTGCTTAATTCTGTCAAACAAAGCCTAAATCAGCAAAACAATGAAACAAAACAAACCCAACTATATCTTATTCTCACCCACCTCGTCTCCCTCCCCAATATCACCGTCACCAAATCCATACATATACTTACACGTGTCCCTGTCTTAGACTCACAAGAGAATATGCCTCCCATTTATTCGTCTGTCAAATTACTCCACAAGGTCACAGCCCTGTAACTTTATCCCACCCCACTCCCCACCATCTTATTCTCTCTCATCCGTCTTTCACTCCCTTTGCTTCTTTTCCAGTTTTTTCTCTCTCTAAAAAAACTCTCTCTCTCTAGAAATCTCAGTTTTTTTTTCTTCTTCTTTTGCCGGTGTCGACATGTCACTGAGGCGATCTTATCTCTCCCGGAGAATCATCCACCGTTCGTTCACACTCTCGAATTCTCACAAAAGCTCTAAATCGACGGAAATCCAATCGATTTGCAGAGAAATTGAATTTGATAATAATGGCGGAGGATTCGAATTGGCGGAGGATTCGAATTCGATTTCCTGGGCTGGGATGCCGCCGGAGCTTTTGGGCGAGATAATACAGAGGGTGGAAGCGAGCGAGGACAAGTGGCCGCAGCGCCAAAACGTCGTCGCGTTCGGCTGCGTCTGCAAGCGGTGGAGGGACGCCACCAGAGAGGCCGTCGAGAAATCCTCCCTCCGCCAGCCTGGCAAGATCACTTTCCCTTCTTCCCTGAAAAAGGTCTCAATTTTTTTTTTTTTTTTTTTTTTTGTATATATATACACTCTATGTGTTGATGGATTTCGAATTTTGCTTTTTCATGGTTATAAATTTTGTGAATTTATGTAGATCACAATTGGGAGAGTATTCCGAAGTGAAAAAAACCGATCGCTTTAGCGGATTGTTGGCCGATTTTGCTTTATCTTTCCAATATAACTGCAACCACATTTTACATTAGCAATCAGAAAATGAAAAATAGATGTGTTAGTTGGATTAGTAAGTATTGGTCTATCAGAACGTCAACTAGAGTCGAAAAATCGATATTGTAGTTTCGAAGAACGGTGATGGTTGTTTGTTGATTGTCAAAGGACAAAGACAAGAGTTCGTAGCAGATTGAATTCCAAGAATATGATTGTGAAATGTTGGATTTGGTTGTCGGAACTGATTAATTTTATTAGATAAATATGAACTTAAAAAATTCTGAATTTTGGCTTTATAAATCGTGCAGCAAGGGCCTCGTGATTCTCCAATTCAATGCCTTATAAAACGCGACAAGAAGAACGCTACATTTTACCTCTATTTGTCTCTCACACCATGTAAGTAAACCTTCTTTTGACGTTTTAAAAGAGGTATGCCGACTCAATAAACTGCATCATTCACTTCAAATAAAGTTTAACCTTCGTTTTAGTTTCTATTGAAAATCAAATTCACTTTAGCCTTCACAGTTTGTGTGTGTGTGTGGGGGGGGGGGGGGGGGGTATATATTTCTTGATGGGAGGTAGGGGAGAAGCTTATTCAACGGTTTCTTAATTAATCGTGGTAGATAGTCAACGAGGGGACCATGTTAGTAAATTTCTAGTCAACTTTATTGGTCTGTCAAAATTATGGGTTCATGTACCTAACATTAAACTTATTTGAGGACTTGTTTAATTACGAACCTTACATTTGTGCTTACTGTGTAAAAGTTCTCGAGTCTTGGCTAGTGGTTCTCAAGCTTCGTTTCTGTCATGAGCTAATTTAATTACGAATTAGATTGCTGTTTCAAGTTTCTGCTTGCTCTACGTTACACTGCACTCATAATTTCATTTGAACTTGGACCTTGTGATTTTATTAGATATGATCAGGCTACCTACAGCAGTGTGTGTGTGTGTTTCATGGATATTTCCTTTTCTCTTTAGTGCCGTGCTGGTCTTAAGAAAAAAATTGATTTTTCGTTTGTTTTTTTACGAACAGCATTTATGGACAAAGGGAAGTTTCTATTAGCAGCACGAAAGTACAGAAATGGCGCACACACTGAGTACATAATATCTTTGGATGCGGACGATTTATCTCAAGGAAGTAAAGCTTATGTAGGAAAACTGAGGTGAGCATTTCTATCTAGTAATTACTTCTGGGCGAGCTGGTCAACTCGTCACTTTCTCCTCGAACCGCATCTAAAGTGATGAAGTTTACAACAATGTAAATTACATTGAAACGATTTTTGTCTTTAATCTTGATTGACATGGTAATGAATTTTATAAAAAAAAATAGTTTTAACAAAACTATAGTATTAAATCAAGCTGATTTGGTGCAGGTCAGATTTTCTTGGCACTAATTTTACGATATACGATAGTCAACCACCGCACAGCGGAGCAAAGCCATCCAGTAGAAGTAAATCAGGTCGTCGTGTAGGAAGCAAGCAGATAAGCCCACAAATCCCATCTAGCAACTTCGAAGTCGGCCACGTTTCCTACAAATTCAATCTCCTAAAATCGAGAGGTCCTAGGAGGATGTTGTGCTCTCTTACACCCCCATTTTCAGACGAAAAATTTCAGACCGACAAAATAAATCGGGACAACTCAGAGAACACGAAGAAACTCGAGTGTCCATCGGTTCAAGAATGTACTACGGTACTGAAAAACAAAGCACCGAGATGGCACGAGCACTTGGAGTGTTGGTGCTTGAATTTCCACGGTAGAGTGACGGTGGCATCTGTGAAGAACTTCCAACTAGCGGCAACAATGGTTGATCAAGGTGGCGGAAAGGGCGGCGATGGTGATGAGACGGTGGTGCTACAGTTTGGGAAGGTGGGGGTTGATACTTTCACGATGGACTATAGGCGGCCGCTTTCGGCTTTTCAGGCTTTTGCTATCTGCCTAACCAGTTTCGGTACCAAACTTGCCTGTGAATAACGGCGGCGATCAAAAAGACCTAGTCTGAATTGATTTTTCAACATCTGTCTACATCATTGAAAGCATATATGCCTTTGTATATAATTTTCGAGTAATGTTGCAAATTGTTTTCGTTTATTCGGAATTTGGATGTGAGAATTATGTGTTCAAGTGTGTAAGTTAGTGCAAGGATGCAAATTACTATACCCTAATATGCATCCCTTTATTTAATTAGGCCCAATTTAATATGATAGTTTCCAGCGCTTCTGGAAGTTTACCGGTGTAATTCATATGGTGGCATTTGTTGTATGGTTCTTTTCAATAAATTAATAAAAATTTAATTTTGGAAAAAAATTAAAACTATGATCGAACAATTTGTCGAAAAAGAAACAAAGGTTAATATTTTCAGTAGCAGCAATTAATCACCACTTAGCATAAGTCTGTCTTTTCTTGCAAGTTTCCCACATTTGAGCAAAACATACATACAATGGCCAAAAGAAGAGAACACAGACAGAAGATTACGGTTTCATTTACACTACCGAAGATCTATTCTCTCTTCCTTCCCTTATTATTTCTTCCCACGCAGTTTCGTACCAAGGGCTCTCTCCAGTTTCGAAATGATCTGTTGGTTCGGGATTGCTTTTCCAGATTCGTACTCCTGGATTATTTGCGGCTTCTCGTTTATGATCTGCATAAATAAACAACATTAATAAAAAACATGTCAATTCAACAGAATCATTGTTGCAACGAGAAACAACACAAACCTGGGCGAGCTGAGATTGTGTCAGTTTCTTGTCCATTCGAGCTTGCATGATTGCCTTTTTCAACTCCGTTGGAACCTTCTCGTCTGTGATAGTGAGACTACATTAGAACAAAGCCCTCAAACTATCTCACTTACAGATAGTCACAACATCCAAGAACCGAATATAGATACAAGAAAAATCTTACTAAAAAAAGAAAAATAGATACACAAACATTCTTATAATGCTGAAGAAACATAACTTAAGTAGCTACCCGATTATAAACTACGACGAAATTACCAGCTCAAAACAACTCACGAAGAGTTATAGCTCAATTACGCATACCCAACATCAATCGCATACATAGTTTATGTAGATCAATAGCTTATGTTTAGTATTATTTTTTTTTTTTGACAAGTACCGAAAGGCTCAGTTCCAGTTGAACAGCACATAGTAAAAACAGAGCAAACATGTAGTTGGTTATGTGGATGGATTAGAACACACATATAGAGACGATCATTTGAGAGAAATGATAGAGAGATGCATACATATTTAAAAAAAAAGTATACAAGGTTGTTCATCAATGTAGGCACAATCCTTTTCATAAATGTAGTTTTCTACACGAAAACAAATGTCTAGAGCAAACAAAGTCATAAATGCAACTAGTGGTACTCAGCATTTAGTTAATTTCTTGCTTTTATGACAATAGATAAACCGAGAGTGTAAGGCTTATACTGAATGATAAATCATATTACACAATTAAAGCAATTATTAAACATCAAATGTTAATGGTTATCACCCAATCGCAGAATCTAACTAATACAACTGAGTGCCACAACCAACACAGATTTCAACTTACGAGCAAGATTTTCGGTGTCTTCATCAAGCTTTCTGGTGTTCAATGTCGTTCCGCTTGAAGCAGGCTTATTTGTCCCGGCATTAGCTGCATAAGAACACATAATCGTACAATCAACACAAACTATATGATACAGCCCCAATTAGATCACAAGAAAATGGTAAAAATCTAACAAAATATCTATAAAGTTAAAATACAACATAGCCGAAAACGGTCATTGGGGTTCCGATTGGAAAATTTTATTTATTTTTGCCACATTCTGCAGACAGGTAAAAAAATTCTATACGGCGCTTCCGATTTGTTTCTGAATGGTTTCATTTTTACAGTTAAAACACGAAGTGTTTGCGGAAAAGATAGCTACTAAAATCAAGCTTGTATGTGAAGTTCATGAATATAGTTTTAGGATCAAGAGTCTATTACATTTACACAAAGACAACCGCCAGATTTTGAACTAATCAAAGATAAAACATCTATACCAGCAGCCACAAAATCCATACACAAAACCTCATATTTCACTACTAGTAACTGCATAAAGATATATGAATATTGGAAAATCATTTATTATTAATAACAAAAAAAAAAAACCTAAATCGAGTCGCAATAATATCAATAATTTTCCAGAATAATTGCAAATTAGGGCAAAACAAAATGGTGACGGAAGACACAATTCGAAAAAAATAAATTGGAAACGCACAAACAAATGAAGTAATGAAAAGAAAAAAAAAATTTGAATCAGAGAACGTAAATAACTCACACTTCCTAATGGTTTCGATCTCAGCTCCGGCGCGGCGGGCGGCGTTGACAGCTTTCTCGTCTTTTCGAGCGGCGGCCGTCGGCGCCTTCTTGCGGATCACCACCGGCTCCCAGTCCTGAGAAATTCCTGCCATCTTTTCAAACACTTGATCGGAAAAAAAATCTGAGATTTGTATGCGGTTTTTGATTATCAGCTTGTGTGTAGATGAAGGCAGAAATGATGAACGTTTGATTATATAGGGGTGGCCTTAGGGGCTGTTTGGGTACTGGTTTTTATCAGTCAAAATTCAAAAATACTTGGATGGCACGGGAATTTTAAAGCCGGAATCTTTCTAGAAGCTTCTACATGGTTCCTCCGGATTTCTCTCTCTTCTTTTTTTTTTTTTTTCTTGGGCATACTTTCCATATTATTACGTATTCACCCTTTGTTGTTGTTGTTATACTATTTCGAACCCTGCTTAAAATGTTGGACTAAATTCATGTTTATTGTTCAAAATTCAATCTATTAGTTAAATATTTTTGGCTTAGTTCCGCTTTGCATCATGAAAATGTACCATTTTGACGTTTTACACCCTGAAAAAACGTAAATCATTCACAATGCAATCTGAATTGATTTTTCAAACGTAACAAAAACGATAAATTAAATTGTTATGTTCTTTAACTCTCCAACCTAGCTAATTTCAAGCGTACCAAGTGCGGAAAACTATAAAATCACATTGAATTATTTAAAATATATAATTTCTCTCCTCACTAAGTTATTCCATATTCGATTGGTGAATTATTTAAAAATATTTGGTAGAACCTTTTATAAGAAGATATTTTTTGAATAACTCAATAACAAAATATCTGAAAAATTGAAATTTTTTTTTTTTATGTTACAAAATATAATTTTAAATACTTCAATTTTAAAATTATGTTTTTGTGTTACAAAATATAATTTTAAATACGGTAATGATGTATATTCTTTTTGACCTTTAATGTTTTAAGGTTTGTTTGAAGAATTGATGAATATATAAACTTGGACATTACAATCGACGTCTTAAAAAAAATACCATTAAAAATATTAAATTACATTTATTTGTTTGAAAAATTCATTTAGAATGCATTCATTATACATACTTTATCGTGTTTTGAGGATGTAAACAGTATCAATTTTTTTCGAGTGGCAAAGTGCCAAAAATATATATTTAAGGGTGCAAAATGGGGTTAAATCTTATTTTGGTCTTTATAAAAGTATATTTTATAACGGTTATATAATTTATAAACTTCATTATAACAAAATTTTAGTAATGATTATAATAACAGTATAAAATGTTTGATTTCGTTAACATATTTCGTTTCTTCATATTTAATTGAGTTAATTATAATTTCTTTTGGGGAGAGAGAGACTCAAAACAACTGGCCACGTCATCACCATGTCTCGCCGCAATCACACGACGGAGCTCGGATGCATCGCCGGCGAAGATTTAACCCATGTCGGCGCCGGAAAGGAAGGCTGGCTGGTCGATAATCCCAACCTCCTTGTTTCCCTCGACACACACTCGCTCGCTCTTGCCAACCGCTCCTTGATCCTCATCCTCAATTGGTCTCAATCAATTAACCCCCGACCCGACCCGGACTCCCGCCGCACCGTCAGGATCCGACCCGATCTCTCCCCTATTGAATCAGAGTACATCTCCGCCGTCGAGTGGCTCGTGTTCGACGATGACGTCAGGGTCCTCGCCGTCGGCACCTCTTGCGGTTACCTTTTGATTTTCTCTCTCTATGGCCGCCTCATTCACCGACAGGTCAGTTCCCAAATCTCAATTCTCTCTCTCTAATCATAAATCAGCAAATTAAGTTAAACAAAAAATCTAATATGTTTGCAATTAAATTAGAAACCTAATACGATTAAGAAAGCTAACAACGATGGAAAGAAAAATTACCAAAACAAAAAAAAAAAGAATTTTATTAGTTTTATGTTATCTAGTAGATTATTAGCATTGAACTTTATGTTTATTTTGGAGTTTTGGTTATGCATCGATTTGTTATTATTTTGTTTTACGTATTTGACAATGGCACACATATTATATATTTATATACATATATAAAATATATAATTTTGCACTTTCGCTTCGTGCGTAATTAGTCGAATCCTATGGCTACCTCACGACCCGACGAAAAAAATTCTATAGCAAGCGATCAACACGGTTTTGCTACGGTGTATATGCGTACGGAATTTCCCATCGGGTCATCGGTAGCCATGGGATTATCGACTAGCTCCATGAAATTTATTTAGCAAGTGAATAATTAGTAAGTGTGAAAATGTGTACAGGTTGTAAGTAGGCAGAATGGCCAAATAATTTCAACACAAACGGAACACTTTACCAACCCATTCTGTACGGAAATTAATGAAATTCACTATATTTTAGTAGTTGTATTATCGAATATATCTCTTTATTTTTTATGATTTCATATGACTGAGCTTACTCGTGTGCTTTCTGTGTGGGAATTAATGAAATTCACTATTTTTTAGCTCATGTATACTCAAATGTATTCCATCTTTTTGTGCCTGCTCGAATGCCTCGGTATTTACGATTTAGTATATGAGTTAAATATTCAGTTGGGGTCTATTCTATATCTAGTTCGTGCGAAAGATAAATTGTTATCAATAGTTAAGCTTCAAATTTTATTTTATTTATTTGTTTATTCGGCCACGTGTCTGATTTCGCAGATTGTAAACCCTGGAAAGATTCTTAAGATAAGGGTGCGTGGGATTAAACAAGATCTGACACAGGATACATCTTCAGAGGAGGTTTGCGTTGTAATGCCTGGTGTAGTTGCTCGTTTTGAAGGATCCGATATTAAGGTACATGCAATTTCTTCCTCGATCTTTTTTATATATTTAATGTTCATTGGCTGTAGCTTTTTTCATTTCTCATATCTTTGTTATATATTTTGAAATTTATCTTCGTTACATATACTTTTTGAAATGCAGAATATGCTGCAGAGGTGGTTTCAAGAAACACACTCTCAATTTTGGGATCAAGATTATAACGAAACTTTTGAAGATGATTCTGTAAATTCTTTTACGACGCTTCCTTATCAACTATGGAATGTTAGCAAGTACGGATTATGTGCCGATGCTGCTATAACTGGTCTCATGCCCCCACCTCTAATGGAAATCCCGGTAGTTCTCTTATCGAACCCTATATTTTTGTATCTATCTGTGTTATATGATTTGTAATAATCATGATTTATGTTAGACTCTGCAACAACGACTAATCGACTATTTCTTAGCTGCAAAATCTTAGGTTTTCTTATTCTTGTTTTCTGTGACTTATGGGAGCTTTCTGAATTTATCCTGGTATTTGAATTCAGCTGATTTTATTGTTGGGCAGTCAAGTCTACGTTACTATTGTGCAGTCACTATCGGAGACGACGCTGTGATTTCAGCATTTAGGTCAGTGAATTTCAAATCGTAGTAATTGCAGACCTTTAAAATATATATATATATATATATATATATATATATATATATATATATATATATATATATATATATATATATATATATATATATATATATATATATATATATATATATATATATATATAAATATATATATATATATATATATATATATATATATATATATATATATATATATGTGTATATATATATATATAGAGAGAGAGAGCGCGCGCGCTCTCTCTCTCTCTGTGTGTGTGTGTGTGTGTGTGTGTGTGTGTGTGTGTGTGTGTGTGTGTGTATATGAGATACATGAGTGGTCATTTACTAGGTTAAGATGATGATTGCTACATATAGATGCTTATGTAGTGCTGCGATAGTTGTGATGTATAAGTGTTAGTTGCACGAGGTGTCCATTGAGGAAGTCTAGCATTCATGTACTTCGCGAGCTTTTGAATGTTTGAAACATTAACGAAATACTTGGCTGAATAAACAACGGATACGGTGGACCGGTCTCCAACTAGGTTAAGAAGAGTGGTTTGAATCCACCACGAACGGGCTCGTAACGGTTTATTGTCCGAGTATGAAAATTACATTTTTCACGAATCCGATAAAACGAAAAAGATTTTCTTACACAATTTTCATGCAAGGGCATTTTAGGCATTTTTGCATAACAATGTGTTTTACGTGAAAATAATGTGGTCTGTGACTTGTGTGCAGTCACTCTCGGAGACGACGCTGTGATTTCAGCATATAGGTCAGTGAGTATCAAATTGTAGTAATAGCAGACCTTTAAAAATATATATATATATATATATATATATATATATATATATATATATATATATATATATATATATATATATATATATATATATATAGAAAGTTTCTTTTGTACGTATTTTCATTCGTAATAGATTTTTTTTGTTTCTTGAAGACTTTCGGTGGACAAGAGCAGATCACTAGTGGGAGCTATCTTGTCAAAAGTTGTACCCGCCACATTTTCAACAATAGCTTCGTTCTCCAAATTGCTTTGGAGGAGTGATCAAACGAATACGAAGAAACCGGAAGCAAAATCTCAGCCGTTTGCTCGAGGTGAGGAAATTATGCTGTGCTGTTTTTCTACTGAACAAAATATCGAAGATTGATAAATAAAAAATTCTATAATATGTGATTTTATTTATTCTATTTAAGATTCGTAAATAGTGCCTATTTTTTGGCAGCCTCTCCTTTAACTTGTTTGAAGGATCATCCAAGGAAAGGAGAGAAACTGACATTGTCACCTAGTGGTACTTTGGCTGCAATAACCGATTCACTTGGCCGTATTTTGCTCTTGGATACTCAGGCACTGATCGTTGTGCGTTTATGGAAGGTACGCTAGCAATATATATAATATATTCTATGCCATTAAATTTCTTTAAAAAAAAACTGAAAATTTTAAAACTCAAAATAATTTTTTTTTTAAATTCTGTAGTTTTTATTTTTGTTTATTTAATAATTTATTGTATTTCCATCCAATAAATTTCATTTTTATGTTTTGATTACTAACCTTGAGTTCTTTCTTTTGCAGGGATATCGTGAGGCAAGTTGCTTATTCGTGGAGATGCTTGCAAGTAAAGATAAAGATAAAGCTGCTTATAATTTCCATTCGAAAAGTGATTATTGTCTCTGCTTAGCCATCCATGCACCTCGAAAAGGAATAGTTGAGGTATTACGATAATCAATTGCATTTGATTACTTTGATGGATTTTTGTGTTTTTAGATTTTACTTCGAATGATGTGAAAGTACCTTTTTGCCCTTGATAGTTGAGGTATCTTTACTGCAACAAACAACTTTGCAAACCAATTGCTTTTGATTAGTCCGATGGATTTTTGGTGTTTCTCGATTCACTTTGAATGATGTGAAAGTACCTTTTTGCCCTTGCAGATCTGGCAGATGAGAACTGGACCTCGACTTCTGACAATTCCATGTCCTAAAGGTAGTAGAATATTACAACCAACTTACAGATTTAGTTCTGCAGCATCTCAATCGTCGTCTTCATCTTATGTACCGTTGGAAGTTTTCTTTCTGAATGGAGACTCCGGTCAAATATCAGTTCTTAATCGATTCCTTCATTGACCAAAAGCTAACTAGTGTATGTATTACGATTTACGACACTAAATTATGTCGAGTTCCTAATTCATTTTTTTTTGTTTTTACTCTGTTTTATAAAACACTACAGTTTGATTGATATGTTTGCATAGCTGTAAGAAATGAATAAATTATCTTGACCAAATTTTAGTTCAGGGATGAAATAGGAAATTGTAATAGTTGCTTATTTTTTTTGTTCGATGTTACATTTCATGCATGAATGAATTTATTGAATGGTTGGTTCTCAGTTGAAGATAAACCGTTTCTCTTAGGTTTATATTCATTCTTGTAAAATTCCTTATTTACCCTCACCTCCTAGTTTCTGAAAATCAACCCAAGTGATTATAGTGAAATGTAGGCATGGGCATGAGTCGGGTTGGGTAATTATCAATAACTTACCTACACAACCTCACCATCCGATTTTGTTGAATTTTGAAAACATTATCGGCCTGACTATTATGGGTCGCATAATGGTTGACAATTGACTTTTTCAGATAAACAATGAGTCGGTTGAAGGTACCCAACCCGACCATCCGATTTTGTTGAATATTGAAAACATTATCGGCCTGACTATTATGGATCGTATAATGGTTGACAATTGACTTTATCAGATAAACAATGAGTCGGTTAAAGGTACCCAACCCTACCATCCGATTCTGTTGAATATTGAAAAAAATACTGGCATGACTATTGTCGGATAATGATTGACAAGTGACTTTGTCCGATAAATAATGAGTCGTTTAAAGGTATTATAAGCCAGCTATTTATTCATTTGTTTATATTTTCTTATAATAGTAACGGACATCTCCAACCCATTGTTATCAAATTGAATTATCAAAAAGTTATTTATAGCCCAAGATAATATTTTGACATTTTCGTAGAATTAGTAAACTCCAACTACAGGTATAAAAAAAATATATCAAACAAATGTATCATTATTTATGTATTATTAATTTTCTAATCCATTTAAATAATCACGCTAAACTAATTTTTCTGGAAACATTACCTCAAAATCAATAATCAACTAATCCGATATATTAATCAAATTTTACCTTTTTGTAACAGAAAAAAAAAAATTATCATGTACGTGTGTGTATGCCACAACTAAGATTTAAAATTGAACAATTCAAATCTCCTCCCGTCCGCAATACTTTGACTGAATTGTACCAAAAATACTATTAGAGTCAACGACAATATTATTATTTTCTTGGGTTTTTTTCTTCATTTTGTTTGATTTTTTGATAAGTCTAATTATAGTACTGTCGTTGACAATAAAATAACTGTAAACATAATAATATTACTGTCAACCACATCAATATTAATTATTTTGAGTGTTTATATTATTGAACGGTCAACATATTAATATTACTCAATTACAAAATAATAATGACTTTTGTTGTGTTAATGTTATTGTGATAGAAATTAATATAACAATATTAATGTCTAATGACCAAATCGCTAATGACTCTTCACCTCAAGCCCCTCCTATCAAAACTCTAGCAGCCGCAAACCACCCAATGTTCCACACTCGCAATGAAAAAAATGTAATTTTGATGATAAAAAATTGAACGAAATTACCATAAAAATATAGATATCGACGAGAGGAATCCAACGGTGGGTAACCCTTCAAATTCCGACTGTCGGAACACAAATCACTCTTCCGAAGAGCCACCGTCGTTGAAAATATGCGCGGACTGTAAAACGATTGCAGAAACAGATCCAGAGCTCCAAAATGAATGAAATCACTACCAAAAGAAAGAGCTCGACGAGGGCAATCCAATGGTAGTTAAACCATTGAATTTCGACCACCGGAGAGAGAGTCATGACTCCGGGAAACAACACTGCCGATTGAAAACCTGTGGGGGCGGAAATTCGGATCTGAGAGTGAGAGAGAAAGAGAGACCATTGTAAGTTGGCTAAGGTTTAAAACTGATTTTAAAAGAGCTTTTTGGTACTTCAAGTTGGGGAGAGGGATATATATTCCAAATTAATTTTATATGGAGAAAGTGAGTAAACTGCAAAAACTACCCCTGTGTAATCTCGAAATAGCAAAAAACCCCCTGTGATAAATAAACTAGCAAAAACCTCCCCTGTGAAATTATTTAAATAGCAAAAACCCCCCTATGGAACTATTTGAGGGTTGACTTGATATAAAAAGACACAAATACCCCTGGAGTCTTGCAATTAATAAATTCTTATATTTTATAAATATTTTAATTATTTTATTTAAAAAATAATCAATTTAGTTGTTTACTATTTTTTTTTTAATTTCTAAACAAACAAATTAAAAAGAATAAATATACATATAATATGTATATATATAAATACATTTTGAGGGACAATTTTGTCATTTCAAGTCTAAAAAATCAGCTAGGGGGGATTCTGCCTTTGACTAAATTTCACAGGGGGGTTTCTGCTAGTTTATTTATCACAGGGGGGTTTTGCTATTTCGAGATAACACAGGGGTAGTATTTGGAGTTTACTCTGGAGAAAGTATGCACAAGGGTGTAAGTGGTTAATTCAAAATATTTTATATATGCCTCGATGGTTAATTCAAAATATTTTACATGTGAGGGTCCTTCAAATAATCCCATAATTCAAATCTAAAATAAAATTTATATTAATTGTGTGAAGCCCCAAATATAGTAATTTTCTCCTTAAAATATTAAACATGATAAATGCTATAATTGTTGGTTCATATAAATTAGCATTTTAATATTAATTTTTTTTTGGTGCAAAATTTCTAAAATATAGTGCCTTGGGATATTTAACTTCAATGCATATGCATCAGATATATATCAATTTATAATAGTATATATTACTATTTAAATAAGTATTATAATTCTGAAATTGTCAAATTAAACATACTTTATTTTCGTCCCCTGGTTTGAAGGGCAATTTGGGCATTAAGAAAATATATTTGATTTTGGCAGTAAACTAAATTTGGAGGATAATTTTAATTTACCCTAAAGATTACAATATACCTCTATAAAAGCGCACACGGGTTCTTCACCAACTAAACACAAAATATCTATGGTTTTTTACTTTGATTTTTCTTTCTTTCGAACAATACGGTGAGTAATTCTTACTTTAAAACCTGTATTTCTTTTTTTTTTTTTGTTCCAAGAGAGAAAAAATCAACCGAATTTTAAATTCTAGGTGAACTAATTTTAAATTTCAAAATAAAAAACAGCACCAAAAAAAACTCTGTGAGAGATATGGCGGATGTAGCAATCTTAATTGCGGTGGGAAGGATAAACGAATTACTAATGAAGAAGGCAACTTTCTTGCAAGAAGAAGGCGTGGAGGGACAATTGAGACTTTTGAAAGGAAGACTTGAACGGATGCAATCGTTTCAGAGAGACGCATCCGATAAAGAATCCAACGACGAGAGAATACGTAATTGGATTTCGAATATCAGAGACGTTGCTCACGATACAGAAGATGTCATCGATGCTTTCGTTCTCAAAATCGATATCCCAAGACGACGACGAACAAGACTACCACTACTCGGAAAGTGCCTAGCCTGGATTGACTTGAGAAATATCGGACGAGAGATCGAGTCAATCCACGCTAGACTCGACGACATCAGCAGAAGCCGCGTGGCTCTCGGGATCTCCAGCACCACCACCACCAGCAGCCTCCTACCGGATGCGGTGGAGTGGCGGAGGCAATTGGATTACTGGCAGCGAGACAAACACGTGGTGGGCGTGGACGGAGACACGGATAAGCTGCTCAAGGAATTCATTCTTGACGAGAGCATCCGGGAGCTTTCCGTCGCTACCATCGTGGGCATGGGCGGTATTGGGAAGTCATGCCTCGCGAGGCATCTGTATCACCACAGACGAGTCGCCGATCATTTCGACTGTCGTCTTTGGGTTTTTGTTTCCACCAAATTCAACCCAAAACAAGTCATTAAGGAACTAATGGCGCAAGTGCTCGACAAACCCATTTTTATGGACAATGAGACGTTGCCCCAACTCGCATCGAGGCTTCGCCGATGCCTCGAAGGAAAACGGTACCTCATAGTCCTCGACGACGTGTGGGAAGACGAACATTGGGAATTTCTTGCAAGTCTCTTTCCTTGTGAAGGTAAATCTTTATCTTTTAATTAATATAACGAATAATCTGTTTAAAATCATCTACATATGTTGTTAGTGAATAGATTTAATTTTGTCCCCGTGTGTGTTTGTGTGGATGGGTGTTTTAAATAAGGGTAAATTACAACTACTCCTGATGTATGATCAATTTACGAAACCCTCTCTTCTTTGGGTAATTACAACCAGCAACTATAATTTTTTTTACTCGTCCACCCTTGCGGTTTCAAATTTAGTAGAATCTTCAATATTATATGGAATATTATCACTTTTGTACCCGTTTTATCCCATTTGAACTCTTTGAAGCAAGATGATTATAATATGTGTTTTTTAGCTTGTATATATCAGATTGTGCTGTATTTTTACACAAAATGAGTACAAACTAGAACACATTCCACAAAATCTAGATGATTATGGTGAATTTGACACCATAAGGGTGGAGGTGTAAGCAAAAATCATAGTTAAAAGATAGATGTAATTATTCAAACAAAAAGGTTTTTTTTCATAAATTGATAATACCTCAGAGGGTGGTTGTAATTTACCCTTTAAATAATTAATGTTTTAAATAGACACAAGGTGAGTATTAGTATAACTAACTAATTAATACTTTGAAAGCTTGTGAAGAAAGTATTTATTTGTTTCTAGTGTAAGCAGTAGTCCAAATTCTTGGTTAATGTGTGATCTCAATGCTTTACACAAATTATTGGATATTTTTTTTTGGTCATTTGATTCAATATATTATTATGTATTCTATATTATGCGTAGATGAAAAACAATTTAAATAGAGTATTTACTTATCTTTTCTCTTACAGAAAAAGCAAGTAGGTTGCTGCTTACAAGCCGCAATCGGATGGCGACGATGAATGCTCCGTATATTCATGAGATGAAACTTTTAGACCCGGAGAAAAGTTGGGAATTATTGTTAAACAAGGCATTCGTGGGGGAATTCAAAGGCAAATTGCGTCTAGGTGACTTTGAGATTATAGGAAGAGAGATCCTGAAAAAGTGCAGAGGTATGCCGTTAGCCATTGTTACGATTGGTGACTTACTAATCGACAGGAATCCATCCACGGAGAAATATGGGAGAAAATTTTGAAAGAAATTAACTTTCATTTCGAAAAAAATGAAATTGAGTTGCCAGAATTGTATTAATCCACATTTTTTTATTTAACAATTAATTATATGAATTTATGAAGGGATCTACTGTTAGAGTATCTGACCAACCAGTCAACGTGTGGCGGTAGTCTTTTCTTTTTTACTTGTAAAAATCTATTTCTTTATTAATTAAATTCTATTTTTGGCAAGCTATATCTATTGTCCCATTTCATTATGTATAGATATAGACCTTATATTTATTATTTAATTATTATGAATTGATATAAAAGAATAAGATAATTAATATGAATTATTTATGCGTTTGATTACATTAATTTAGTTAGTTCTACCATTCTCATATGGAAGACATGTCGAACGGAATATTTTATGCATTAGGTTATAAACAAATATTATATTGCTTTGAAAAGCAAATTTTTTTTTTAACATCTTTACTTATATTAGTGTTATATTTATTTTGAAATATTTTTCTTTACGATCTTAAATTGTTGTAATAATTTTGTTCTCGAAAGTAACCACCGTGCATGCACGGGGAAGTACGAGTAGTAGTATTAATATCACGTGTGCCATTTTTATTAGCCGTTTAACGTGTAAATGTATGGATACTAAGAAACTTATTACACAAATTTTTCTTTTAATGAAAAATTCAAAATTACCTTTTTTAGAAAGATTATCTCTGCATTAATTGATCTCTTTTACGATTTGTTTGGTATATTTCTTTGATTTGGAAAATAAATTGGAGTATTTTGTTAATCAATGATTTCCTTGATAATTGTTAAAAAAAAAAAGATTCATTTTATGATTTGTGAATTAAAACCTAGTCAATGTAAATGATTTCTTGATTAATTATAGGGTTAATTACACTTACCCCACTTATCCTCTTCTAATCATTTAAAATTTTAAAATAGTTGACAGTAATAGGAAAAAGACATTAATATCCTTAATAGAAAATATGAAAAAATACACTACATTATATAAGTATTTTATATACCTAACAACAATACATCATAAAATAACATTTTTATATTTTATTATTAGTTGTTTTAATTTATGTTCAATATATTTTTAAAAATAATTATATTATTATATCTAATTAAAAACTTAAGTATTTTTATTGTGTGGATTATGATGATAATTTCTAATCTTAGGAAAATTAGAAAAATTAATAATTATAAAAAAAGAAAAAAAATATTTATGATACTTATAAATATATAGATATATTTAAGATGCGCTATATAATTCATAAATTTGTTTAAAAAAATTATATAACAAATTGAAAAAAATAGTCAAACGTGCTTTTATTTCATTTAAATTAGAAGTAATAATTTTTAATTTAAATAAAATAAAATAAAATAAAAAATTAAAGAAGGAATTTATGTAGTTCTAATTAAATATAAACATATATTAATTGTGCATTATATATGCATACTATGATTAGAGGTATTTTAGGAACTTTTATTTAAGGGTATAAATATCTTTTTGATATTATCTATTATTGTATTATGGATCTTCTATTAGTAGGCGTATGTTATTGACTATTCACCCCTCAAATTAAAAAGAAAATATTATAAATAAAAAAAAAAAAAAAAAAAATCAACGTACAACATGGCAAACTCTCTCCTCCGTTTTTTCCTCCTCCTCCTAAGTTTCACACTTCTCTCCGCCGTTCCTCCGACGACGTATTTCGAAGTCACGAAACCCATCCCACTCCCCAAAACCCTACCTTGCTCAATTCAAATCCTCCGACACGAATTCGCATACACCTACGGAAAATCCCCTGTTCTAACAGAATACAAACCCCCTTCGAATTGCGCATCTCGTAATTCCCCAAAAATCGTTCTCGAATTGACGGCGGCTTCCAAGGGCAGACAATTCGACAGAATCTTCGGCGTTTGGCTCGGCGGCGTCGAGATTCTCCGCAGCTGCACCGCCGAGCCCCGCCGTACCGGAATTGTCTGGACTGTCAAAAAGGACATCACCAGGTATCCTCTCTCTCTCTCTCTCTCTCTCTCTCTCTCTCTCTCTCTCTATACTGATGATGAGACTGATGAAGGAAAGAAACAATTTTTCTTTTGATATTTAAATTAGGGTTTATATTTATTCAATTTAGTATCCCATATTTACTTTAATTAGTAAATAACCCCTATAAATCTATTTTTCTATCAAACTACTACCAAACTCGGTTTTTTAGCAATTTATGTATTAGACAATGTTCATATCCTCAAAAGATGTTATAGTTGTATATAAAAAACATGTAATTTTTTTATTTTTTTATTTTCTTGTACAATTTTTATTTATTTGTTATTTACCTATTTTTCGTATTAAATTCGAGACAATATTCTTAACTAAAATCCTGAATTCGTCACTAATATTCACCAGGTACCGTTCTCTGCTGATGAAGGAACAAACCTTAGCTGTTTATATTGGAAACATTATCGATAATACTTACACCGGTGTATATCACGTGAATCTTACAATTCATTTTTATCCGGTCGAAGAACAAAATCACGGCCGTAATAGGTTTATTTCGGGTGATGGTTTTGGTTCTATGGCGGCAGATTTGATCCTCCCGGTTTCAAGAAATCTGTCTTTAAACGATGGGTTGTGGTTCGAAATCGAGAATTCGACTCATGTTTTGGGGAAAGAAATCGAAATCCCCCAAAATACGTACAGGGCCGTTCTCGAAGTATACGTATCTCCCCACGAAAACGATGAGTTTTGGTACACGAATTATCCGAACGAGTACATTTACGAAAATAACCTCACCGACGCCCCCGGAAACGGGCCTTTTCGCGAGGTTGTTGTTCGATTGGACGATTCTATAGTCGGTTCGATTTGGCCCTTTACCGTAATTTACACGGGCGGCGTTAATCCATTCTTGTGGCGACCGATTAGTGGAATTGGTTCGTTTGATCTCCCTTCTTACGACATTGAAATCACCCCCTTTTTGGGTAAACTATTGGACGGAAAAAATCACTCGTTTACGTTTGGTGTCACAAACGCTTTGAATGTTTGGTACATCGACGCGAATTTGCATCTTTGGTTGGACGAAAAATCGGACAAGACACACGGGAAGCTTTTGAAACATAGTACTCCGCCTCTATCATTGTCTCTTGTCTCGAGTTTTAGTGGTGCTAATGGGGTTTTTACGACAAATGTTAGTAGATCAATAGTTTCAAGTGGATGGGTGAAATCGTCTCATGGGGTGATCACAACAAAATCGCGTCAAGAATTTACGTACTGTAATTCAATGGCGATGAAACATGACGGGAATTTGCAGGTGTTGGATCAAATGATTTATTCGAAAGGAAGTGTTGATGCTAGAAAGCGACTTTCTTCGGTTTTTCGCGATAAATTGTTTAGAAGGTTTCGAATCTATTTGAGCGCGGATAATGTGGATAAAGGAAACGGGACTTTGGCTTCTACGGCTGATTTGAGATTGAGCATTGATGAGAAGAGTCGAAGGGGTTCTTGTTTCGGATCGTGGAAAAGGAGAATCAAGAACCGGCAAAAGGGGCATGGGTATATGCTTTTGAAAGACTCGAATTTAGTTGATGGATTGGGAGAAACGCAACAAGACTATCGTTACTCTAGTGACGAGTCGTGCTATTTTAGGAACGTGAGAAGCTCGAATTACACTATTCTGCATGATGAGGACAGCAACACTTGCAAAAACAACGAACCGTAGCGTTTTGTTTTTACGTTTTTACCCCTGAAAAAATTGCCCTTTTTGGGATCTAAATGGCATTGTTAAAAAAAAAAAAAAAAATCCCTAAATCCCTTTTTTATATTATAAAATTATCGTTAACTAACCCTTTTCAACACAGAATCCCGTTGGTTGACCGATACCGACGTTGAATTGGAGGGAATGTGGTGCTATTTTCGACTTGTTGAATATATTTGGTCGAGCTTGTTTTCGCCCACAAAGCTCCAATTGGATTCTCCACAACCGTATGTTTTACGGGATGAGATACCACCGGTGGATACATATACTGACCAACGTAGTAAGAGACTTATTGGATCGAAAAAAAACCCGTAAAGGCAAAGAAAAGGCGTCGCCTAGTTCTAATGCGGAATCTAATTATAATAATCAAGTAGAAATACTAGAGGCCGGACGAAAGCTTAGGCATGATCAAAACATTGCAATCCAACAAATGCAAGAAGAACACAGAGTCATGGCAATGGATACAAGTGATTGCACTCCAGGTACAAAAGCATATTGGAAGTCGAAAAGAAAATAGATACAAAGGAAACAAATCGCAAAAGACTTATTTGAAAGTTCTTCGGCCCATTTAGACGACGACGGATTTAATCCGTTTTATTGATCTCCCTTGTTCGATTTATATGGGTACTCTTTTCCTTGTGTCGGCCCACAAGGTTTTTGACGAGGCCCATTCGTTATTTCATAAATATAAATCGAATAACAACTTTTTGGCCAAAAAAATCCAAAAAAAAAAAGAAAAACAAAAAAACCAAAAACAATTCCTTGTTCAATTAATTATTATTTTTTGTTTGTAGTAATCGTTATTATCCTAGATGTTTTCGGATTCTTGTTGTATTATTCGGTTTTATCCTTCTTGTTTTTCAAATGTTGTATTAGTGGTTATTATTCTTGTTTTTTTTTTCAATTATTGAATTAGTTGAGATTATTTCTTTACTTTTATTTGAATATTGTATTATTATTATTATTATTATTATTATTATTATTATTATTATTATTATTATTATTATTATTATTATTATGATTATTATTATTATTATTATTATTATTATTATTATTATTATTATTATTATTATTATTATTATTATATAT